ATTCGTCGCCTCTAACTCTCCCTCCAGCAGTGTATCCCTGAGCAGATGACCATTACGATTGGTCACTTGATGCCAGTACCATCCCGTATCTTCACCATTCAACTTGCTGAGGTGAGCATTAACTTTAAGATCTCCTACTACAAGTAGTGGGGGGGGGGGTCCAACCCGATGTCCGATATGAGGGTTGATGAGGCCAAAATCGGAATCGGAAAAATCGGAAAAATCGGAAAATTGAGAAATTTTAGAGAATCGATCTCTAAAACCTCTCAGAAGTGAGGAAGTGATAAAAAACCCCTACATATGCTATATTGTTATGAGAAAACGAACTAATTGGACATTCCAATAGTATGTTTTATGTGTTTTCCACTGCAGGGGCTAGTATGCTCACTACTAGTTGGAGTTGTCATGTACTCCCAGACCCGAGTGCTTTGGCCTCTTGACGTGAGATCGATTGTTTCTGCTCATTAATTTTATCCCTGTTACTTGTTATTATGTATTAGTACAACACTAGGGTTATATTTTGTGGTCCGGTCTTTAAACATACCATAATATCACTAGTACACTGCACCTTAAATGTATAGTCAAGTACATTTGTATCGTAACACATGCTTGGCTGGGGGATCATGTTTTGTGTCCGTTCGGTACCCTGTATTTTCAAAACGGACAAAAAGTAGGGCGGACAAAAACAGACAAAACATTTAGATGTCCTCCTCCTCCTCCTCCTAAGTCTTCCTCCTCCTGAGTCCTTCTCCTCCTCAGTCCTCTTCAGTCCTCTTCCTGACTCCTCGTCCTCGTCCTTCTCCTCAGTCCTCCTCACCCTCCTCCTCAATCCCCTTCTCCTCCTCAGTCCTACTCCCAGTCCTTCTCCTTCTCCTTCTCCTCCTCCTCATCCTCATTTCTCCTCCTGATCCTCCTTCTCCTCCCCATCAGTTCTCCTTAGTCCTCCTCCTCCTGAGTCCTTCTCATCCTCCTCCACCTCCTGAGTCCACCTCCTGAGTCCTCCTCCTGAGTCCTCATCCTCCTCCTCAGTCATCATCCTCTTCCTCCTGAGTCCTCCCCCAGTCCTCCTCCTCCTTCTCCTCCTCATCCTCCTCCTTCTCCTCCTCATCAGTCCTCATCCTCTGTCCTCCTCATAATCGTCCTCGTCCTCATCCTCGTCCTTAGTCCTCCTCCTCCTTATCCTCCTCCTCAGTCCTCCCCCAGTCCTAATCCTCCTCCTTCTCCTCCTCCTCCTACTCCTCCTTCTCCTCTTTCTTCTCCTCCTAATCAATCCTCCTCCTCAGTCGTCCTCCGCCTCTTCCTCGTCCTTAGTCCTCGTCCTCTTCAGTATTCCTCCTCAGTCCTCCTCAGTCCTCATCCTCCTCATCCTCCTCCTCAGTCCTCCTCCTCATCCTCCTCCTCCTTCTCCTCTTCCTTCTCCTCCTAATCAGTCCTCCTCCTCAGTCGTCCTCCTCCTCTTCATTAGCCCTTGTCCTCATCCTCCTAGTCCTCGTCCTTAGTCCTCGTCCTCATCCTCCTCAGTCTTCCTCCTCATTCCTCATCAGTCTCATCGTCCTCATCCTCCTCCCCAAGTCCTCCTCTTCCTCAGTCCTCCTCCAGTCCTCCTTCTCATCCTCCTCATCCTCTTCAGTCGTCATCTTGTTCCTCCTCAGTCCTCTTCTTCCTCCTACTCGTCAGTCCTCCTCCTCCTCCTTCTCCTCAGTCCTCCTCCTCCTCCGCAGTCCTTCTCCTCCTCGTCAGTCTTCCTCCTCGCCAGTCCTCCTTCTCCTTCTTCTCCTCCTACTCCTAAGTCCTCCTCCTCCTCCTCAGTCCTCCTCCTCCCTCTCATCCTTTTCCTCCTTCTCCTCCTTCTCCTCCTACTCCTAAGTCATCCTCCTGCTCCTCAGTCCTCCCCCAGTCCTCCTCCTCATCAGTCCTCCCCCAGTCCTCCTCCTCCTCATCCTCAGTCCTCCTCCTCATCATCCTCCTCAGTCCTCCTCCTCCTCAGTCCTCCCTAAGTCCTCCTCTTCCTCAGTCCTCCCTAGTCCTCCTTCTCCTCCTCCTCATCCTCAGTCCTCCTCCTCATCCTCAGTCCTCCTCCTCAGTCCTCCTCGTCCTTAGTCCTCCCCCAGTCCTCCTTCTCCTCATCCTCAGTCCTCCTCCTCAGTCCTCGTCCTTCTCCTTTTTAACAGTCCTCCTCCTCAGTCTTCCTCCTCGTCCTCGCTCTCGTCCTCCTCCTTCTCGTCTTCCTCCACACCAATCCTGCTCCTCTTCCTCAGTCCTCCCTCTCCTCTTCAGTCCTCCTCCTCCTCAGTCCTCCTCGGTCCTCCTCTTTCTCCTCAGTCTTCCTCCTTTTCCTCCTCCTCCTCATTTCTCTTCCTCATCCTCCTCCTCCTTCTTCTCTTCCTTCTCCTCCTAATCAGTCCTCCTCCTAATCACTCCTCCTCCTCAGTCGTCCTCCTCCTCGTCCTTAGTCCTCGTCCTCATCGTCCTTAGTCCTCGTCCTCATCCTCCTCGTCCTCATCCTCCTAGTGCTCGTCCTGGTCCTCCTCAGTCTTCCTCCTCTGTCCTCCTCAGTCCTCCTTCTCCTCAGTCCTCCTCCTCCTCCTCATCAGTTTACACAATTTATTGTTACTAAAATGTTTTTAAACGCATTTGAGTCTGTAACATATTGACATGTTACTGTTACTGACTCAAAATGTGCCCGAGAATTTTTTTGTTTAACAGAGTTTTACTCTCCAGTACTATGGAAAAGTTGTTACATGATAAATAAAGATTTTGATAAATAAAGTGATTTTCATCCCTTTTAATGTTATTGAAAATTGTGTAGACTATTCTTTGTATCTAACTGAGGATTGGAAGTTTGAGAAAGGACCATAGTCATTAACCGTGCTACCTATTTCTGCAGATAGCCTGTTACAAATTGTGGAGACAATTTAAATCAAAAGTTACTAAAGCGTTCGCTATTTGTTACGATTGTTATTACCAACCGTACCTCTTTCAATTGTGGACCGGGGTGGATGTTTCTGTCAAACAAGAGTTGGTACGACATTGTGTTGTTTTTCGGACGAAACGATTCTTGTTTGGAACAAGATACCGTTTTGGGGTTCTGGGACCACCACCAATCGATTTCTTGTCATATTTAAGTACAGAAATAGCTACCTATATCGCCTAGAAACCTCAGAGGGAAGATTTAAATTTTCCCGATTTTTCCGATATGAGGGTTGATGAGGCCAAAATCGGGATCGGAATGATCGGAATTGATCGGGTTGGACCCCCCCCCCCCCCCCCCCAAGTAGTAGATGATGAGAGGGGACCTCCCTTACTGCTGCTCTCAAGCAGTCGTGAAACTCTTCGGCTTCTTCGACAGTTGCGGATTCCGTTGGACTATACACAGAGATTATGGTTAATCTTGGGTTTCCGTCCAACGACACAAGCATGCAGCGCTTACTATAGGTCTTGATAAGACTAACTGCATTAAAGGCTTGTTTAGTCAGCAGGAATCCCACTCCTCCTGTAGACGCTTGTGCTCTGTTTCTCTATGCTGAAGTTGATATTAGGTGAACTCCCTTCTTGTGCCTCTCTATCTTGACTTCTTCATCATGTACAACTCGGTGTTCTTGTATTGCAAGGACAGATATCTGACTGCGCAAGAAAAGAGTAACCATTTCAAGCCGTTTAGAAAACTCCCTCACAGTACGGACATTAAGTATCCCAATGATACTCTTCTTTGTACAACTTACTACTCCTCCACTATTTTTTTGTTTTTTGATGTTTTCTGTTGGCTTTCTAGGATTCATAAACACATCATCAGCTGCCCGTCCACTATGTGGGTTTAGGACAACCGAGTCATAACTGTACTGATCCTCGATAGGCCTGGTAGGGGCTTGAACCCTAGTGCTTTTGGTTGTAACCATATCTGTTTTTCAAAAGGCTAAGTGACCCAGTGAAGTCCCCTTCACTGTGGCAAATGGTCACTAATCCCAATGCCACGCCACCGGAACATTGGGGAAAACCGCAGGAACATTTTACCAACTCGAACATGTAAACGTTAACCACATGTGAACATAACGTTTATCAGGCTGTATCACTAGCACTCAACTTTACTCTACTCGATCTTCACCTGCTCCATGCAGGACTTAAGCTTATGACCCAAAGCGTACGGGAGTAAGGGCGTGAAACAAAAATTTCCGCTTTGACGAGGGCTAACTCTCCCTCTGACTACCGGTTACCCTGGCACAGGGAGCTGTATCCTATCTAACAGAGCGTGGTCCAGTCTGACTGGGTCGTAGTAGAATAGGTTTGGAGGGTAACAGCCTACACCTCTTTAACTACTGTGCAATCCACAGTAAAGATTTATGAGTCTCCGAGCCCTTTGTGAGCCAAGAGTTTAGGAGTCAATGACGTTTTGTGATTGAGCTCCTCGGGACTCAGAGTTTCCCTTTCTGTATTTAGCCTGGACACAGCCCAGTTTCCAGTCTTCACCACGTGGAGGTAGCAGGGGAGGACTTGATGTGGAGTGGCTATCATCATGTTGACTGATGATTAACTGGAAGGAGGCACCACAGGGATACCCCTTTTCAAAGTTCTGACAACCTCACGGCAGCACAGGGTTTCTATCCAGCAGTGACACTTTGGGCCACCTAACCTTCACACAACCATTGGAAGACCAAAAATATAAAGTTATAATGTAATCATAGAGGGATAGAGTAATACGTTACCCGTCTTACGTCAGTGTTTGGTAAATGTGGATGGGTAGCTCTGCAGAAAACTGAGTTTTATTATATAACAGACCGTGCTTAATCACTCTACATAACAATAGACTGAAAACTTCGAGATCTTTCTAAAACGGGCAAAAAGAAGTATTAAGCAATTATTGTTAGTGTCACATCATATTCACTCCCGCACTGAACTTACTCTGAACTAAAATTGAAATTGCAAAGAAAATCATTCAGACATTGTGAACCACTGAATTGTGAATTAAAGTTGCCCAACATCTAATCATTGTCCCTGTATTTCAGGTAAATCACCGTATTGGACTGTTCTCCCCAACAGTACCGTGTAAGAGACCGGTAGTTACAGACAATAAACTACAAGAACTCTCCTCTCTGGCGCCTAACTGTGAACCTCATAGATTGTGGATACGTTTCCTAACCCAGCGTTTCGAGGTAAGTCTTCTAACTTAGAGAAAATCATCTGGTGATGAAGATGAATAAAGTTTCTTTCTTTTCAAGTCTAATATTTCATTCAAATGTGCGATATTCAAACTTAATATATTATATAGAAGCACTGCTGCATAACTGCTGTCCCCCAGGTAATAAAGTACAAGTCAGCGAAGCAGGTGGAGTTGTTCACCTCTCTGTTCCACACCACCCTGCCCCTCACCGCTCACAACACTTCCATCCTCTCTAACCACGTCTCCGCTATCGGACCCAGATTCGAGTTCCTCCATCTGGGACTGCTTCTACTTCAGAATGATATAATCAGGTACGGTTGTCACAGTAACAACAGTACGGTTGTTGCGAAACAATCACAGCAAAAGAAGCGCTCAATCTGATTTTTATCACATCCCTTTTGTCTTAAAACATGAAATAGGTGGAACTTTCCCACACAGCAAGTTGTTGTAAAAAAGGGTTATCTGGTTAACAGTAATCTGATTGCATGATGTTGTGTTCAGTTGAGTATTCTACCACTTTTTAAACGTGTTCGAACGATATGCGAGAGAGTCATACCCACGTGATGACCAAATAAGGAAGTCACGTGATGACCAAATAAGGAAGTCACGTGATGACCAAATAATGAAGTCACGCGATGACCAAATAAGGAAGTCACGTGATGACCAAATAAGGAAGTCACGTGATGACCAAATAAGGAAGTTGCGTGATGAACAAATAAGGAAGTCACGTGATGAAAAAATAAGGAAGTCACGTGATTACCAAATAAGGAAGTCACGTGATGACCAAATAAGGAAGTTGCGTGATGACCAAATAAGGAAGTTGCGTGATGAACATTGACCAAATAAGGAAGTCACGTGGTTACCAAATAAGGAAGTCACGTGATGACCAAATAATGAAGTTGCGTAACTACTAAATAAGGAAGTCACGTGATGACCAAATAAGGAAGTTGCATGATGACCAAATGAGGAAGTCACGTGATGACCAAATGAGGAAGTCACGTGATGACCAAATGAGGAAGTCACGTGATGACCAAATGAGGAAGTCACGTGATGACCAAATAAGGAAGTCACGTGATGACCAAATAAGGAAGTCACGTACATCACTGCAGAGGAAGCGCGGCAACTAACAAGCCGCGAGAAAGAAACGAATGGGTTTTACTTGACCTTCATGACTTGTAAGATGAATGTAATTGCCATAGTAACTGTTGCATGATGCCAATAAAGAACTGTCGTTATTTTGATACCATGATCTACTGATTTCACCCTGAAACCTATCTGTCTCTTCTTGTCCTCAGTTTGTATCACGTACCTCTTTGAGTCTTGACTGAGATGTTCAGCACTTCTTAAGAGTTTGCAGATTTACAATAAATTGACGAATAATGGCCCTTCAGTGCGCCATTCAGTTAGCCAATAATTTAATTAGATTTAAATAGTCATTCTGACGTAATCTTGCTTATCAACGTTTGTCTTTCAATCTGATTCAATGTATGTGCACGTCCTTCTATTTTATATAATTTCTCGTATTAATATCACCCCCCCCCCCCCTATTACCGTATTGATATTACCCACCCCCCCCCCCCCTATGTCCCAGTAAGTCACCCCCACCCCCACCCCCTATGTCCCAGTAAGTCACCTCCCCCCCCCCCTATGTCTCAGTAAGTGACCCCCTATGTCCCAGTAAGTCACCTCCCCCCCCCCCCCCCCCCCCTATGTCTCAGTAAGTGACCCCCTATGTCTCAGTAAGTGACCCCCTATGTCCCAGTAAGTGACCCCCGCCCCTCCCCCTCCTATTTCCCATTAAGTGACCTCCCCCCTATGGCCTATGTTCCAGTAAGTGACCCCCATCCCCCCCCCCCCCCCCCCAGTAAGTCACCCACACACATCATACTTCCCACTGAGTCGACTGTTTTATTTCAGTAACGAGCTGAATCAGAGTATCCTCCGAGAGCGGTTGTACACTGCTATATTGGACTACTTCTGCGTGCCCACCCAGTGGCCATGTTACACCACTGCGGAGTGTCTCACTGATGTTGGAGTGCTTAATAAATTCTGGGACACTCTCTTCCACGTTAGTTTTACCTTTTTACGTTTCTTTTATTATATTTATTTTACATGTCTCCATTTTGTTTCAGCGCGTTCTATGAAATCATCATTTTTTCCCTACCGGATTTTCGAACAATTGCTTTTTTCGGCAGCAAACAATGACCTATTAGCATAAAAAATAATCTTGAAAATTTCGTTTGAGAAATCACCATGGTAACGATTGTTTTATCTCAGTCCAACCGTCAGTGTCAGCATTTAATGTTTCTCTAGTTCTCACTTTTAATTATATGTCTGAGTTGTTTATATTAAATTTGCTGCACAAGGATAATGATAATAAGGGGCATGGGAGTGTTTTGTTTAAATGAGAATGGGCTCGCATAAAACTATAAAAGGTGAGCTCGCCATCAAAGTTGAGCTTATAATTTACGCGAATTTATTGTACTAACGTTGAACATGACTGTGACAATGAACTTAATCTTAAATTCAAACTTCAGTAGATTTATGTGGGCACGAGGCCGCCCTAGCAGATATGGCGATCTAAAAAACGTATATTTTGTAATAAATTATTTGGTGGAAAGCTGTTCAGGTGGGACTGGGAGCCTAGTCCCATTCTGTTCTGGACACGGTTTCCGAGAGCATTTTAAAGTAACTTTAACCCAAAAGCAGTTAATAGATCAAACTAGCAGGAACCCGTCTAACCCTAAAGTGGTGTCAAGACTCAAGAGACTAAAATAATTATTACCTATTTAATTCGCGTTTTTGACACCACTGTGGGGTCCAAATTTTAGGCTCTAAAACTCCTATTTCTTGGCCAATTTTTTATTTTTTCATGCTGATTTGAAGGCCATTAAAGCATTTGACCCAGTCAAAAAAGTTTCAGTTGTATATCTTTTACGGTTTTTGCGGAAAGTCGTGTTAAAGTTGATGCCGTGGTGTCAGTAAAATGGCACGGATAAATATATATATATAACACCGACTTTTAATGTGTAGGAGTACAGCTACAAAATATATATATATATATATATCGTCTCGCTTTATATATAGTAAGATAATTTAACTGACATATATGTCAGTTAGACGAAGTAGGGGTGGTGGGTCATGAGTATTTTTGAGAGTCCCGACAAAAATGGCCAAATTCTCATTCTCAAAAATTATTTTTGATTGTTTTGAGACAAGTTTCCACGAGGGACGAAAAACTCATTCAAAAAATTGATTTCGAGTATTTTGAGCTCTGATATGAAAAATGATTTGGTAAATCACTATTTTTGAGTGGAAAATTTTTGAGAAAATGAGAAATCCATGCTGAATTTCTCAAAATCTCAGATTCAAAAATTCTCATAACCCCCCCCAAGTAAGGAAAAGTAAAACGCAGCCTATCACATAATGTTTTAAACTTTCGAAATATATTCTGTTCTCACTTCTCGCGTTTGCGCTCACCCACTCCTCAGTGGGCTGTTCACTTGACAGAGATACTGGCTGGCACTCCCAACATTTTCTCCTTCCAAAAATCATGCAATCAAAATCACTATACACTCACGTCTAACAATCATATATATTCAAAACACAAAGCTTTGAAATATACTTTTTCTGTTTGAGATACCCTCCAATACTTGCCTCCCTCCAATACTTGACATATCTCACAAATCTCCATATTCAAATGTCCAACTGCTGTCCTGGTTTGAGCTCATCACTATCTTGCCACCCTCCATAGCAAGATAATCCTCCCAGCCCATGGGGATGAGTTTAGATATCCCACAATTTCGAGGTCTCATAGCGTTCTCCGTATTCTCGAACTTGAAGTCTGCTGTGGAAATCTTCATATCAGTAGTGTAGGGATGTGCTTTATTATTTATGATCTGCCGGGCATTCCATTGGAACCTCTGTATGGAAGCCTTGCTATCATCCATAAATCTAACATCCACGTTAGACCCTTTTTTGCGTCCAGCTAGTGGTAATCCCAGCTCAGTTGATCTAAGTTCCCATGTACGAGACAGCCCTATGTCAAACCTTTGAGAGGTCGACAAAGCGTCGTACTTGTTTCCTCCCAGGTAAATCTTTCCTTTGCCAGCGTGGATTAAGTCAAAGGAATTTCCACTTACATCGTTGTAGATATTGCAATTTTTAAGGGTCCAGGACTTCATGACGTCGATATCGGGGATCCCTCCTTGTATGAGCTCCATTTTGCTCTCCACCAGGTGATAAGTGGGGTATTGGAAGGAAATGAACCTAGCGTAGCTGGTAAAGAATGGAGCTGCTCTGTCCTGATCTACTGCTACCAGATACAAGCCCCTCTTTGTCTTCTTTAATCCGATATACTTTCCTGATCCTTCATGTTTTAGGTAGACCACCATTTGCACCTTCCTGAATGCAACTTGATCTCCGCTTGAACCGACACGCTCAGAAACACCAGAGAAAAGTGTGACTATCTGCATCTTCTTGGATGTTTCCTTTTTGTTTCCTTTATTTTTGTTTATTTTTGTTTCTTTTCCTTTTTTCTTTCCTTTCATACTTGAACCGGCCCCAAAGTCGGAGACAAGCTCAGAGGCACCAGAAGAAAGTGTGACTACTCCTTTACAAGCTGAGCCAAGGAACGCGCACTTGTTCTTTGCAGTTCCCACATTCTTCCTGTCAGCATCTGTAACCCCATCCTCCACAAATTGCAGCTCTTCTTCACTCACACCACCTTCCTCTGGGGTGTAGAAGGCATTTGCTCTGTCGTAGTCATAGAAGATCCTGGGGAAGGCTGCTTTCTTGTTGACAGCATCACCACAAATAGAGCCTCTGGTTGTCAACCAACTTCCGTCGTCGAACTTACCCCAATATTTCCCATAACTCTCTTGAAGTAACCATTTGTGTTTGGTGTATCCTATGATAGTGTTAGCATGGGTACACCCGTTGGAGCACCTCTCTGCCTCCTCCACCTTCTTCTTGCTGAAGCAAGTAGTTACAGGACCATCTTGGAGGGCTTTCATCAGCGACGCTTCTGTTGTGGCAAGTCCAGTTCCGGCGATCACGACGAACTGGTCATCAAGGGTGTTACTGAAACTTCCACGATGCAATTTCCCGCATTTTTTAAAGCATGCCGTCTTCCCCTCTCCTTCCCTAAGACATTCCATCTGTCTGTAGGGTATCTCGCTTTCAGAGACAATAACTCCACTGTTCTTGGCTGCGGTTGTCACGCTGTAGGGTTGTGCCCCGATACATACCCTCCCAGCACAGTTCATGAAGTTCTGGATAGAGTAAGGGATATAGTTCTCCGAGACAAAGCCTATCCTAGCTTCAAGAGCCTGAGTACCGTGGACCCAGCCACACGAATTACAGGTTAATCCCTGGTGGATAGCTTCATGTATCACCATTTTATCTCTCAGATCCAGCTCTTCTGGTAGATCCTCTGTGCTGTCAGGCTCTTCCTCGTCATCCATTCCTTTATCGTCTTCGTCATCTAGCTCTACTTCCAAATTGTCGTCAATGTCATCAATATAGGTGCTGTCATCACAAGTTGCAAGATGAACTAAACTTAGGATCACGACAATCAACTTCATTTTCCGGTTGTCTCGAAAAAAACAAACAATCTTGTAGATTGGGAAGTTTTAGGTAAAGTTGAAATTTAAATAAAACGGTTCTGAGCTGGTCCTCTTATCTACTATGTGCGAGCTTTTATGGAGTTCCCCTCCCTCCCCCATGTTGGTGCATTGTCCCTGGCACCTTTATCACTCTGTTGTTAGTCACTAAACGTCAGGTAGTTTCCAGTTAGGCGTGATTGTAATTATGACTTACTGCCTATTTCGTGGAATTGTAATTTTGGTTAAGACATTTTTAGAAGAAATAATTAGAGCCACTCTGTTGTAAAGTTTGTAATTATCATGCACTGTGAATGGAAAACTAGTCACTGGAGCACAGATCGGGGGCGTCTAGTCGGGTCTAGTCGCGCTTCTTGCAAAGATAATGTCAGTTGTATAGTAATAAGCAATAATTAATTAAGCACCTTCATTATGTTAACATTATGTAACAACATGTCTGTCAGAAAAAGGGCCCCTTGAACTGCAATTTAATTTTTAGATAATTTTTAATTTAAAATTAAATTTAAACAGCGTCTTCTTTCAAAGGGCCTAAATAATTTTGATGTTGAATGCAAAAGTTTACAAAACAAAGCCTTTAGAGTGCGTGTTATTAAAATTGACCCAATAATAAAATTATCGCGCTTTAATTATCCAGGGGGGGGCCAAGTGGATATTTGTAGATATTTGTAGAATGTCATCCACTTTTTTCGTGAATTATCCATTGACAATAATCTACAAATATCTACATTTATCTACAAAAAATGTATAGAAATTTGTGTGATTTCTTATCCATTAGGTTCCATATTTGATGTAACCACTCATCTATAATTTCATCAAGGACAACCCCTATATGCTTGCCTATACTTCTCTCAGTGCTTTGAATCTGACTGACCGTCAAGATCCTTCACTTGTTCTGGATCTGTCCTGCTTATACTAGTATTTTTTGAGAGAAGGATATTCAGCCACAGGACTTTTTCTGAAGAGTATCCATTTTCTAGCTGAGGCTTTCTTGGACAAGGATTTTAGTCCAGAGCAGAGAGTAGAAAAGGCTTGGTACTGCAAGTCTTTTTTTGTTCTCTGGAAATCTAATATAACTGATAGTTGTCAGTTTATAACTTGGCAGACGTTTAAAGATCTGAAATGTACTTGCGATGGACAGTGGACTCATTCTCTATCTCCTTTTTCTGCAAAAGTAACAACATACCTACTAGGATCTGATGCTAATGAACAACTCTTTGCTTGGATTCGAACTGGTATCTTTGCTGGTCGCCGCACAAATCTCGATGCCATAACTTTAGCATACGGCTGCGAGAAAAGAAATCTTCGCTCAGAGCTCGCTCTTGCAGATGACATGACAGCCTATGCCCATTCCCGTGGACGCAGTATTTTCAGGGAAGAAGTTCCACTACCACACGAGACATGGAAGAATGATACGAAGGAGGTCCACGATTTGAGTTCAAGTGACATCAAAATAGATAGCTTGAAGAAAGCCATGGAACGAGGTACCAAGGCTGTCGTGGACGATGGTAAGAAGTTCAAGTTACCTTTCCTGCAAATATTTGAAGATGAAAACATCATCCGATTGAATGAGAGGAGGATATAAATGACCCTGCAGAGTTGACTGAGTGTGAGAATGATGAAGTGGACTGTCCCACTTGCACTGATGATACTTATAATATGTTAGAATCGGAGGAAGCAGATTCGGAGGCAGCAACTGAGGTCAGCACAACCCTCTTCGGAACGATCGACATAAGATCGGCAGAAACTCTGTTGCTGAACGGGGCCGGAAAAACTAATTTTGGGGATTTTAGCATCAGCATTCGATCAAGAAAGCGGAGCTGAGAGAGTTCAAATGTTCATGATTTGTTCGGAGCGAACAAAAACTGTTACAGAAATAACATTTAGATGGTTCATCCTCCTTCTCATCCTTCTCAGTGTTCCTACTCATCCTCTTCCTCATCCTGACATCCTCCTCCTTATCATCCTCCTCAGACCTCCTCTTCTTCAGGAGGGGGGGGGGATTTTAGCATCAGCTTTCGATCAAGAAAGCGAAGCTGAGGGAGTTCAAAAACTATACTCCAGCAAAGTTTGCATGTCCTGCAGGACGGCTCAAGATAAATTCATACTAATTTCACAAAGCAATGATCTCTTGCCCATGAGGTGATTACGAAATAGTCAACCACACTGCTCCTTCTCCTCCTTGGTCCTCTTCCTCCTCCCAAGTCTTCCACCTCCTTATCCTCCTCCTCCTCCTCCTCCTCAGTCCTCCTACACCTCCTCCTCCTCCTCAGTCCTTCTCCTCCTCAGTCCTTCTCCTCCTCAGTCCTTCTCCTTCTCAGTCCTCCTCAACCTCCTCCTCCTCTTCATTCTTCAATCATCCTCCTCCGCAGTCCGGAGTGAACAAAAACTGTTACGGAAATGACATTTAGATGGTTCATCCTCCTTCTCATCCTTCTCAGTGTTCCTACTCATCCTCTTCCTCATCCTGACATCCTTCCCCCCCCCCCCCCCCATCCTCCTCCTTATCATCCTCCTCAGACCTCCTCTTCCTCAGTCCTCCTCTTCCTCCGTCCTCCTCACCCTCTTCCACCTTATCCTCAGTCCTCCTCTTCCTCAGTCCTCTTCCTCAGTCATCCTTCCCTCCTCAGTCCTCCTCAGTCATCGCATGTACATTGTACAGTTCCTTCTCAGTCCTCCGTCTCCCCATCCGCATCCTCCTCCTCAGAAAGCGGACATTTTTACAGGCCTCCTCCTCCTAAGTCTTCCTCCTCAGTCCCCCTCCTCCTAACTCTTCCTCCTCAGTCTCCCTCCTCCTAACTCTTCCTCCTCAGTCCTCCTCCTAACTCTTCCTCCTCAGTCCTTCTCTTCACAGTCCTCCTCAACCTCCTTCCCTCCTCCTCAGTCCTCCTCAAACTCCTCCTCCTCAGTCCTCCTCAGTCATCGCATGTACAGTTCCTTCTCAGTCCTCCGTCTCCCCATCCGCATCCTCTTCCTCAGAAAGCGGACAAAAACGGACATAAACGGATACAAACGGACAAAAACTCTCACGGAAATAACATTTAGATGCTTCCTCCTCCTCCTTCTCCACTCCTCCTCCTTCCCCCATCATCCTCCTCAGTCCTCCACCTCCTCCTAAGTCCTCCTCCTCAGTCCCCTCCTCAGTCCTCCTTCTTCCCAGTCATTCTCCTTCTCCTCAGTCCTCCTCCTCCTCAGTCCTCTCCTTCTCAGTCCTACTGATCCTCCTGAGTATTTTTCCTCCTCCTCTTCCTCGGTCCTCCTCAACCTCCTCCCCCTCCACCTCACCTTCAGTCCTCTTCTTTCTCAGTCCTCCTCCTCAGTTATCCTTTTCCTCCTCAGTTCTCCTCAGTCCTCGCTTGTACAGTTTCTTCTCAGTCCTCCGTCACCCCATCCGCAAGCGGACAAAAATGGACAAAAACGGACAAAAACTGTTACGGAAATAAAATTTAGATGCTTCCTTCTCCCCTACTCTTCCTTCTCTTCCTCCTTCCCCTCATCCTCCTCCTCAGTCCTCCTTCTCCTAAGTCCTTCTCCTCAGTCCCCCTCCTGATCCTCCTAACTATTCCTCCTCAGTCCTCCTCTTCCTAACTTCCTCCTCAGTCCACCTCCTCCTTAATCTTCCTCCTCAGTCCCCCTCCTCCTAACACTTCCTCCTCAGTCCCCCTCCTTCTGATTCTTCCTCCTCAGTCCCCTTCCTAACTCTTCCTCCCCAGTCATTATCCTCCTCTTTTCCTCCTCAGTCCTCTCCTTTTCAGTCCTACTGATCCTCTTGATTGTTTTTCCTCCTCAGTCCTCTTCCGTCCTCCTCTTCCTCAGTCCTCCTCAACCTCCTCCACCTCTTTCTCACTCCTCTTTTTCCCTTAGTTGTAGTGAACGTACGGAACGTTCACTAAAAATAGTTTGTGAACGCGTTCGCTAAAAGATTTGAACGTTCGGAACATAAGGAACGTTAATTGCTATTATGAAATTTAAATGCCAGACATAGCCCAATTATCCGGCAAAGTACTAGCGTTTCCATTGCCACTTGCCGACAGGATTTGCCACGTTGTAACAGACAATCCAAATGTCAATAAATCTCTACGACGCTTAATCGAAGCTGATTATGAACACATCATAGGATCATGCTCTGTAACCCACCAGTTCGATCTACTTGCCGAGGATGTCGGGAAGTTGAGCTGGACCAAGGAGACATTGTCGAATTGTAACAAAATAGTTACAAATGTGAAGAATCACGACATGATTCTAAAAACGTTAAGAACCCATTCTCATGTCAATTTGCTAAAACCAGGGGAAACTCGGTTTGCCACCCAGTTTATTATGTTAGATCGAGACTGAAGGGTTCCAAGGATACTTTGATTAAGACTTATATTGATCCAACCCTTACTGAGTCTGTTAGCAATAAAAGTAATGCATACAAGAATTTGTTTGAGTGCGCTAAAGATTTAGTGTTTGACCCCCATTTCTGGATAGAAGTCGACTATTTATGCTCAATTTGCGTCTTATGAACAATTCACGAATTAAGGAGCAATAATTTCATTACTATTTGCTATACTAGTGACTTATTTTTATTCATTATTGTTTATTTACTGTCTAATTCCGACAACATGGTTTTATCTCATTGTATCCATCTAAAGTTAAAAACTATCGGAAAAATTATCAAAATATTGACCAACGTTCACTAACGTTCACAAACGTTCACTACAAAATGATTGGAACGTACGTTCAGTACGACTAAGTTCAGCGTTCACTACAACTAAGCTTTTTCCTCAGTCCTCCTCCTCCTCAGTCATCCTCTTCCTCCTCAGTCCTTATATGTACGACACATTCTCATTTCTCATTTCTGAAAACAGTATTCCTAATTTTTTTCCTAATTACATGATGGCGTTTATTCAAAGGGCATATACTAGGATAGACCTCTGCCTCGGTCAAAAAAGCACCCCACGGCTTCCCTCGGCCTCGGTCTTAACTAAGATGGCACTCCTCGGCCTCGGCTATTAAGCTAAAAAAGTACCCCTCGGCCTCGCCCTAAGCCGATCAGTGATCCTCATCCTCCTCAATATTCCTCCTTAGTCCTCCTCCTCCTCCCCAGTCCTCATCCTCCTCCTCCTCTTCCTTCTCAGTCCTCATCCTCTTCCTCCTTCTCCTCAGTCCTCCTCCTCAGTTCTCCTCTTCCTTCTCCTCAGTCCCCTCCTTCTCCACAGTCCTCCTAGCCTCCTCTTCCACCTCCTCCTCCTCATTCCACCTTGTGACAATTTTATTTTGCCATATTTAACAGTACCTCTTTTATCTCTCCCTAGTCAGGCGGATGGCATGGTTGGAAGTTCAGACTGACAGCACCGGTAGAGATCAGAACTTTAGTCTCCCCCCCCCCCCCCCCCCCCCCCCCCATAATATGCAACATTAAATTAGATAGTTCCACCCTTTTAGATCATTGCTTTTCTCTATATGATAGTGTTTATGGACCATAATCTCCATGTAAATACACTCAAATAAACATAGAAGAACTGTGCAAGTAGTCAGATAATATCATTAAATCACTTAGCATATATAAAACGTGATGAAATTGAAGTTAATGCCCAGAAATTCTACTGAATTTTTGGAGATAAATGTAGATATTTGTAGAATGTCATCCACTTTTTTCGTGGATTATCCATTCTACATTAATCTACAAATATCTACAAATATCCACTTGGCCCCCCCCCCCCTATCCAAAGGGTTTGTAATTTACCAATAATTTACCATAGTTACACTACTAGTTACCATAGTTACCAATATCCTCCGCGTTACACACTCTTCTGCAGGATAAGAAGTATTTAAAGAGTATCCTGGTTCCCACTACAATATCTCCTGACTCTATCCAGATGACCAACGGTAAGTTGTGAGTTTAATACTGGGCCTCCATAAATACCCCCCCCCCCCCCCCCCCCCCGGCCCCCGGCCCCCCCCCCCCCCCTGCACCCTTCAGATCCCTACAACGGTAAGTTGTGGGTTTAATACTGGGCCTTCAGGGGGAGGGACTCAACTCTCAGCCTTCAGGGGGAGGGACTCTACTCTCAGCCTTTAAGGGGGAGGGACTCTACTCTCATCCTTCAGGGGGAGGGACTCTACTCTCAGCCTTCAGGGGGAGAGACTCTACTCTCAGCCTTCAGGGGGAGGGACTCAACTCTCAGCCTTCAGGGGGAGGGACTCTACTCTCATACTTCAGGGGGAGGGACTCTACTCTCAGCCTTCAGGGGGAGGGACTCTACTCTCATACTTCAGGGGGAGGGACTCTACTCTCATCCTTCAGGGGGAGGGACTCTACTCTCATCCTTCAGGGGGAGGGACTCTACTCTCAGCCTTCAGGGGGAGGGACTCTACTCTCATCCTTCAGGGGGAGGGACTCTACTCTCAGCCTTCAGGGGGAGGGACTCTACTCTCAGCCTTCAGGGGGAGGGACTCTACTCTCATCCTTCAGGGGGAGGGACTTTACTCTCATCCTTCAGGGGGAGGGACTCTACTCTCATCCTTCAGGGGGAGGGACTCTACTCTCAGCCTTCAGGGGGAGGGACTCTACTCTCATCCTTCAGGGGGAGGGACTTTACTCTCATCCTTCAGGGGGAGGGACTCTACTCTCATCCTTCAGGGGGAGGGACTCTACTCTCAGCCTTCAGGGGGAGGGACTCTACTCTCATCCTTTAGGGGGAGGGACTCTACTCTCAGCTTTCAGGGGGAGGGACTCTACTCTCATCCTTCAGGGGGAGGGACTCTACTCTCAGCCTTCAGGGGGAGGGACTCTACTTTCAGCCTTCAGAGCTTCAGGGGGAGGGACTCTACTCTCATCCTTCAGGGGGAGGGACTCTACTCTCAGCCTTCAGGGGGAGGGACTCTACTCTCATCCTTCAGGGGGAGGGACTTTACTCTCATCCTTCAGGGGGAGGGAGTCTACTCTCATCCTTCAGGGGGAGGGACTCTACTCTCAGCCTTTAAGGGGGAGGGACTCTACTCTCATCCTTTAGGGGGAGGGACTCTACTCTCAGCTTCAGGGGGAGGGACTCTACTCTCATCCTTCAGGGGGAGGGACTCTACTCTCATCCTTCAGGGGGAGGGACTCTACTCTCAGCCTTCAGGGGGAGGGACTCTACTCTCATCCTTCAGGGGGAGGGACTTTACTCTCATCCTTCAGGGGGAGGGACTCTACTCTCATCCTTCAGGGGGAGGGACTCTACTCTCAGCTTTCAGGGGGAGGGACTCTACTCTCATCCTTCAGGGGGAGTGACTCTACTCTCAGCCTTCAGGGGGAGGGACTCTACTTTCAGCCTTCAGAGCTTCAGGGGGAGGGACTCTACTCTCATCCTTCAGGGGGAGGGACTCTACTCTCAGCCTTCAGGGGGAGGGACTCTACTCTCAGCCTTCAGGGGGAGGGACTCTACTCTCATCCTTCAGGGGGAGGGACTCTACTCTCATCCTTCAGGGGGAGGGGCTCTACTCTCATCCTTCAGGGGGAGGGACTCTACTCTCAGCCTTCAGGGGGAGGGACTCTACTCTCAGCCTTCAGGGGGAGGGACTCTACTCTCAGCCTTCAGGGGGAGGGACTCTACTCTCAGTCTGAAGATCCCTTTTTCCGAAAAGTCTCAATTTAAATATTCTTATATTTATAATATAATATATATTATATATACACTTATTATAAGTATTATACTTATTATAAGTATTATAACACTTTTCGTAAAATTAAACTTCTCCCTTCTAAGCACATTATTTCAACTTTAATTTTGGTTATTTCCAGGTATGCTGGGGCCCAACATGTACAATATAGATGGAACGAACAGCCCCTCATCCCGTTCCAGAAGCTTAAGTGTAGAGAGATCTAAAGCAAACAGTGTCGTTATGAAGAAAACAAGCAAGGTATTAATACGTCTTATAAACTTGATCGACGATGAAATTTAGGTAAAAACGTTTCACAAGTCTAAGATAGATTAGAGGCACATAGCAACTATAAGTGATAGATCTCAACAGTAGATAGTTCACCTAGGCAGCAATAGATTTCAGAAGGCGCGCGAACCATGCCCCGGTCCTCGAGTATGGGCGTGGACCTTATAAAGTTGAGTTTTCACAATTCCCTCTCTAAGTCCGCTAGTTTCGGGTCCCTCCGACGCCCGGTGGAACCACTGATTGAGGGCGCTGGTCCCACACTGGTTAGTATGTGTAGATATTGGGCCACTGTGGTCTCTTGTAGCAACTTGTAACACTGTCTTGTGTAACACTGTGTCTGTACTTCTGTTTGACTGTGTAAAGAGTGGTAAATGTGGACCTTCTATTTGGGTAAGCAAGGAGTAAGCCACGTCGCAGTTCATTTCAACTTTCAAGGTAAAGGATATTGGAAATTTTGGATGGGAGCGATGAAAACATTAAAATTTGGCCGTTACCTTTCGACTGCAAAATATATTGAGAATAAATAGGATTTTAAATGGACGGGAACACTAACCTAGACCCTAGTTTAACTTAAACCCCTTACAAAATAACTGTAAATTAATTAAGAACGAATTACAAGACTTAAAACGGAAATACTAGCTGCCTCCCACCCAGACAGCACCGAACGGTAAGTTGGCTGTTCCGGACAACAACCACAGGAGGAGTATCTCACTAACGAGTCTGCCTAACCTCCTGTCCTTAAACTCCGCTGCTAAACAGGTTCCACCTGGTTACTATGGTTACCTTGCTCTTTTACGGGAGGCACGCTTGTTCAGTGTCTCTGAATACCTCCAGCCGCTTCTCTCTGAGTTGAATTCTGCTGGTTGTAGTTAAAGTTATGAAACTGAAAGAGAATGCTGGAGTGTCACTGTTGGGATACCAGAAAGCGAAAGGGAAAGCTGGGCTTCACTTATACTGTTTTCACTTTCTGGCATATTTTTACAGCATTCGACAGAATGTCTTTTAAGCTATTATTAGATGCGCAACCATAATCTATAAAATGTATACCAAGTGAGAGCAGTTGTTTCTCGTTGATTCTGAGAGGATACTATCGGTAGCAGAAATAGGGGAACTATCCTTGTACGTGGTTTGAATGAGTTGTGAGTGTTTTCCTGAGAAAATAAAGTTTCTGTTGTCTTGTTTGGGGAATAACTAGTGTCACTTTTTTGTAGAACAGTGTTATTCAATGTGGTGACTGGTGTGTGTTTGGACATGCATGCCTGATTAGATACTAAACATGCCTGATTACGTTTTGAAAGAACGAAAAAAACAGCAACGACGAAGGTGATACAACTTTTCTTGCATTCCCAATAATACATATCGCAATAAACTCGATAATAAAACCTCTAATTCCCCGCTCGTTTTACCCGCTCAACTCTAAAATAAGCCGTTTAGTCCAGTTTCCGAGAGCACTGCAGTGAGAACGCCCCCTCCACCAGATCCTCCCTGGTGGTGCCTGGAAGACAACCCTCCCTGCACAGCCGTGCTGTGGTGAGATTACATACACGGTGTGGTACGAGGTGTTGCCCTGGCAACAGTGGCGTAACTAAGGGTTACAGGGGCGTAACTAATGGTAACAGGGGCGTAACTAAGGGTTACAGGGGCGTAACTAATGGTAACAGTGCCACAACTAGGGGTTACAGTGGCGTAACTAACTGGGATGTAGATACAGAATATAGATAGGGATTCAGAGGGAGGTGGGGGTGGGGGGGAAATCTCAGGAACAATATCGGGGGCAGAAGGGCATCAAAAGATCGGACAAATTGTAACGTTACGTCACTGACCGGGGCGCATTCGTACTCAGCATGTTACTGTGTTATATATGGCTCGTGCGTGAATGTGATTTCGTGATGTAATGATTTTTGCCTGAGAAAAATCGATGAATAAATGCGCTAAATGACTGGCATTATTTTAATAAAAATACCTGTCATCCTGTGTGATGATCCGTTAAAATCTGCGTTTTTGTTGTGGCTATGATTCACCTTTTTCGCTTTTAATTTGAAACTTTTTCAATTTCTCTCAATTTGAACCCTTGTTTATCTCTGTATGATAAGACTGTTCTGCTTATATCTGTAGTGTGATGTTACCACATTACACTAACTGTTCTGCTTATATCTTAACAGCTGTAGTTTACAAATTTAGCAATCAGCGCTAGATGGTTACTAAACATTTTATCAACTATCTGGCTTCCAAAGCATTACCTCTACTAATCTCTATCTATTTAAAGTAAAGTATGCTAATTGCTAATATAATAATGTAATAATAATTATATAGCACCTTGTACTATAATATACTAGCATTAAAGCTGTTTTAGTAAGATAATCAGGGGTAAGCCTGTGTTGTTCTGAGCAAATCCCAGCACACTGCTGCATAATACTCTTAACAAAACTGACATCGCATAATATCGCATATCGCATTATTATTATCGTAAGAACGAACAATAAATCATCAACAAAAATGTTCCCAAAAAAATCACAATATTGGATGATCACCACGTGACATGAAGCGTGACACCACGTGTGTCAGACCTCACATACCTCCCCTGACCAGATGGGAGACTATAAGAGTAAGTATCACCTGAAGAAGAGGAACCTGATTCTGTTCCTGATCCACCACGAGATAGAGAGACTCTACACATGGGCGCAACCTCTATCTGATAGCGCTCCCAGTGGTGAGGAATCTCTTTCAATTTTAAATATTAATTTGTAAATCGAACTAGGATAAGATTTCCTTTTTTAAGCCATTTCTTCTATTAAAATATGTAAATTGGCAGGAATACTTGCTGCATTGTTTAATAAGACTGCTGCGTTGTTTGATGTCTAAATTGAAATAATGATCTGATTGTTCCTCCTCAGACGAGAAAAAGACCAACTTTGTTTACAAGAACTTCTCGGAGAAATCGTGGAATGACTACATGCATCTAGCCTGGACATGCCATCCCAAGGTCGCCCTCTCTCTAGCTCTTAGAGTCAGAAGTTCGGGTGAGAAAGGGAATGTTTATTATTTAAACCTGGACACACTGTCAACGGGTTGTTAATTATCTTACTGCTAAATGCACATGCACAGTGCAAAGCTTGACTGAAGGATTCTGATTCCTGAACCATACTTATCTCATACAATACTGATACCCCACTCCCCCAGACTCTATATACAGATCTATCCGGCTGTTTGTAAAGAGTGCCCCTGCTAACTTCTACGACTGTGTGGAGGCGCTCCCCTTCATAGCAACTCCCCAGAATGTTAAACACGATCTACCTCAACTGGTCCACATGTTAGCCTGGACCCCCGCCTCCCCCCTCGAAGTCCTCACTTACTTTTCTAAAGAGTACCAGGAGGTAAGTTAAGAACAGTGTCTTGAAACTTTGACATATTTTAGGTTTTTGTTGAAGCTGATCACATATTAAAAGAGCTGATAGTGATCGCCAAATAAATTGGGTTTTATCTAAGATTTTCGCTTTTTGACCTCCACTATAAACTAATACTTAAATTTACCTTTTCTACTTTTCTAGAGTATGACAAACAAAACTAACGCCTCCTCCACAGAACCCAATAACTGGGATGTACGCCCTACAAAGTATACAGAGCTACCCCTGTGAGACCCTGCTGTTCCTGGTTCCCCAGATAGTACAGGCTATACGACACGACGCGTACGGCTACGTACGCCAGATCATCTACTGGATTGCCACCTTGTCACCTATCGTAACCCACCAAGTTATCTGGAACATGAAGACTAACATGTTCCTCGATGAGGAGGCTGAACAAATCGTATGTTAAAGTGAAATTGTATTATATCTTTTAAAAACAGATCATTTTTTTATTTTTTAAATTTCAAAATTAAATAAACTTTACATCAATGTATTACAGTTATATTTAGAAAAGACCACAATATCTTCTGTGAGGCAACAACATGGAAAACATGTTTCTCTTCTAAATGTGAAGTCTTTAATCTTCTGATGATGCGTACTTAAAATTGAGGACGTTACTTAATTTTCATTGTATTCCAGGATCCAATAATTGGGAGCACGTTGAACGAGTATATCCAGGACATTAAGAGTACTATGAGCGGCAGCTTCTTAGAATTCTACAACAGAGAGTTTGATTTCTTCGACTCTGTCACTGAAGTCTCTTCTATTATCAAACCCTACCCCAAGGTAGCTTTAATAAACATACTAACTCAAACTGCACTACTGACGATGATAACAATATGATCTATGTTAGGTTTAAAAGGTTTTTCTTTTAAAAAAAGTTGTACAAAAAATAATAAATTACCCAATTTACTCAAGTTGTAATGTAACAGCTCGATGTTTCCAGGGCCCGGAGCGTAACGCGGAGTGTCTGCGGGCTTTAAAAGACATAAAACCGAACAGATTCGGCACATACCTGCCCAGTAACCCTGACTCTGTTATTATTGGTATCGACTACACCTCTGGTAAACCTATGCAGAGCGCTGCTAAGGCTCCCTTCCTCGCCACCTTCATCGTCAAGGACTGTCCGGTAAACTTTCACAAATAGTACATATTATATAATACAGCATGTTATACATATTATACATATATTATACATATATTATACATATATTATACATATTATACAATACAGCTGATATTAAAGAGAGAAACGACATTATTAAAAACAGCACTCAGGAAGCCCTCAGATCTTTAGTGTTAGCTTTCCCGACTCTACCATGCTTGTTTATTTACTTTAAAATTACAACAATCTTAGCCCAAATAACCGTTTTTTCAAAGTTTATAATTGTATTCCTAATTTCAAGGTGACGGAGATGCAATCATTTGATGCTAAGAAAGCAAATCTACACGTGGGAGTGACCAGGAAGTCCTGTATCTTCAAAGAGGGAGACGATTTGAGACAGGATATCCTGGCGCTGCAAATAATAGAGTTCTTCCTCAAGGTATGTATAGCACTAAGACTTCAAGTATGTACTAAGACTTCAGGAATCTTAAGGTATGTACCAGTAGTCTGTACTCCTCAAGGTATGTACCGAGATCTCTCTTATTTTCAAGTGCTTTGATATTTGGGGCATTTCGTGTCTGAACGTTTCTGAAAAACATGACAATCTTGCATTACTCTTGTTGGAGCATAACACACCTTGGTTAACTTGGTAACACACCTTGGTTTGCAGGCGTTCCAATCTATAGGCATGGAAGTGTACCTGAAACCGTACCGAGTGGTGGCTACTGCTCCTGGGTCAGGTGTTATTGAGGTGGTACCTGACTCTAAAACTAGAGATGAACTCGGCAAGAAGACTGACGAGACTCTATATCATCACTTCATCAAGGTGTGTTATCTAACTAAACGTATTTGTATAGGTATCATGTATTACCTTTCTCATAAAATCCATACTTCATAAAAATAAGTTCTTATGTACATGTTACTCATGAGTCGCTTTAGATGGTTTGAACTGAATCTTTGGGTTTTGAGTTCTTTATGGCTATAAAGCGATGTATAAATTCCTACTTATTATTATTATAAAGGGTCTCAATAAGAGGTCTCGACTGCCTAGGCGTCAAACCTTGGCAGTCGGTAGTTTCCCTCTGGCCCGGGATCAGCTGACCCTAGGGACCAGAGGGTAAAGGTGTAGAGACTATGTGTATCTACAAATCTTTCGAGGTTGTTTTTACAAGAGACAGGGCTTGCTACGCAAGGGAAGAAAACCGGGAGAAACAATCACAAATTATACAAATAAATATTATAAAACCTAGCAAAAAAAAATTCAAACAATCCTACACTACTACAAATGTATTATTTATTATTATTATATCAATACAGTTTTACTGTCTTCTTTAGTGCAATTAAACGTGATCAAAGAGCATATTTTCTAATTCAATTCTTTAACAGACAACACGGTGTCCTGTCCAATGTCCATTAGCCTTATATTATGCGAGCAGGTTTATTAGTTAATATTGCTAAAACCACTCCTATTTCCTTAACGTTCCGTAACGTTCCTTAACGTTCCTTAACGTTCCTTAACGTTCCTTAACGTTTCTTAACGTTCCGTAACGTTCCTTAACATCTTAACGTTCCTTAACATCTTAACATTCCTTAACGTTCCTTAACGTTCCTTAACGGTCCGTAACGTTCCTTAACGTTCCTTAACGTTTCTTAACGTTCCGTAACGTTCCTTAACATCTTAACGTTCCTTAACATCTTAACGTTCCTTAACATCTTAACGTTCCTTAACATCTTAACGTTCCTTAACGTTCCTTAACGTTTCTTAACGTTCCGTAACGTTCCTTAACATCTTAACGTTCCTTAACATCTTAACATTCCTTAACGTTCCTTAACGTTCCTTAACGGTCCGTAACGTTCCTTAACGTTCCTTAACGTTTCTTAACGTTCCGTAACGTTCCTTAACATCTTAACGTTCCTTAACATCTTAACGTTCCTTAACATCTTAACGTTCCTTAACATCTTAACGTTCCTTAACGTTCCTTAACGTTCCGTAACGTTCCTTAACATCTTAACGTTCCTTAACATCTTAACGTTCCTTAACGTTCCTTAACGTTCCGTAACGTTCCTTAACATCTTAACGTTCCTTAACGTTCCTTAACCTTCCTTAACGTTCCTTAACGTTCCTTAACGTTCCTTAACGTTCCGTAACGTTCCTTAACGTTCCTTAACGTTCCTTAACGTTTCTTAACGTTCCTTAACGTTCCGTAACGTTATGTTATGTTCTGTAACGTTCCTTAACGTCCCGTAACGTTCCTTAACGTTCCTTAACTTCTTAACGTTCCTTAAAGTTCCTTAACATCTTAACGTTCCTTAACGTTCTGTAACGTTCCGTAACGTTCCTTAATGTTCCTTAATGTACCGTAACGTTCCTTAACGTTCCTTAACTTTTCTTAACCTCTTAACGTTCCTTAACGTTCCTTAACATCTTAACGTTCCTTAACATCTTAACGTTCCTTGACGTTCCTTAACATCTTAACGTTCCTTAACGTTCCTTAACGTTCCTTAACACTCCCAGACGTACGGTGACGAGAACTCAGTTGGTTTCCAGAACGCCCGAGAGAACTTTGTGAAGAGTATGGCGGGTTATAGTATAGTCACGTGGTTGCTGCAGATAAAGGACAGGCACAATGGAAACATTATGATAAGCAACACCGGGCACATCATTCACATTGACTTTGGGTTCCTGTTTGAGAGCTCGCCTGGTGGGAACATGGGATTTGAACCTGATATCAAGCTGACGGAGGAAATGATTCAGATCATGGGTAAACAATAATGACCATACATTTTCTTATCAATATCATCTTGTATCTTTAATTTTAGAATCTCGGCTTTTAAAGAAACTTAAATTCTTAACACTTACTTGAACAAAATTTGTAATAATTATGTCACATGCACATTGCATGTACTGCATAGCATATCACTGAATATCAGTTATTTGGTAACCATCCCTTATATAACAGAGTGTCGAGTGTTATCGGGATTACTTCTGTAGTAGTTGTATAAGTTGTACAGTAATTACCTTAGTATTACTGTACAACTACTACATAACTCACCAATATCTACCTTTCCAGGGGGTTCTGAGTCAGCGCCCTTCAAGCGGTTCTCAGAGCTAGTAGTGCGCGGCTTTCTGGCGGTCCGGCCGTACTGTGAAGCTATCTGCACCCTTGTTTCTCTTATGATGGGCACCAACTTACCCTGCTTTAGGGATGACGCTCTCAGGAAACTGAGGAACAGGTGCGAGTAATAAATATCTAATTGATTTTACCCTTACTGTTTTTGATTTTTGTTAGATTCACCATAGTTATTTGACGGTTTTTTTGCAGATTTTAATTTAAATTTGATTCGCTAAAGTTGTGATTGAATTCAATTCAGTTCGAAAGTTTCGTTTACGACTCGATTGTACTGAACAGAACGCGATCTATACAATCAGTTATATCAGTCAGTTTATTGGTAAGTTATTTGTTATTTATTCAGGTTCCAGCCCCATTTCTCGGACAGAGACGCGGCAAACCATGCCAAGAAGATGATCCGGGACAATCTGCTGAACAAGAGAACTGTTATCTACGATAAGATTCAGTACTACCAGAACGAGATTGCTCACTGAGACAATGTATTGGGAGGTTCATGATATTACTTACTAAGATCTGTAGTAGTTACTAGATCTAGTTACTAAGATCATTGAGAACTTAATTGGGCATTTATTATTCGCTTGGTAGGTTCTTGGCTGGTTTTGTGAAAGTTTATTAAGTTTATTTTTTGTTCGGTTATATTTAGAGAAAACTTTCGGTAAGGTTACGTAGTAAATAGGATTGTTAAATGTTGTTGATTGAAAATACTGTGAATGTTTATTTTCTTAGTGATAAAATTGATTTTTGCTTGATTTGGACTTACTTTCGATTCTGATTTGTTCATGTTTTTCTGTTGTCAAAATATTGTTAATATTTCTGTTTACAATAATTGAATAATTGTTTCTTTGGATGATTCACCTCTGTTACTTCTCATTTCCTTTATAAAATCTTAATAATTTACGGCTGTTGCAGAACAATTTATTTATTAAACAATATTTCTTACTAGTAACTTCAGTAACCAATACGCACTGCCATGCACCATTGCATTGTGGATTTGGTGCACTGTTATACTACATATTGAACTTTTATGTAATAATATAATAATATAGTATATATAATGATAGTAATACAATCCTCCACCCTCAGTAGCATATAATAATATAGTATACAATATAGTACTACAATCCTCCACCCTCAGTAGCATGTGATCTGGATTACAGCGGGCCCCACTATTAGAACCTTCACACTACACTTCATCGCACAACATTAGAATCTTTGTTCAGGTATTGTAAACTATTATTATCCACCCTTACTTACCCTCTAATGATAATTACTGTTTATCTGGTCATGGTTTCAGTGGTTTAGATTACAATTATAATCTAATTAGTTCTACGATTTACCAATTAGCTAATTAAATATACTAATTGAATACGTGTTAAAATCCCTAACACCCCTCCCCTCCCCCAGTTATCCCAGTACCCGATTGAGAGCTGAGAGAAGTGAAGCGAGCCCGAGCAGGCAGCATGGTACAGGTGACAGTTAGCAGTCTTATACTTAATACTTAATACTTAATACTACCTAAAACTATATATAATATTTAGTTCTTAATACTTACTCACTAAAGTATCTAGAAATGCGGGCATACTCTACAAACTCAAAGGCTCTGTACCTAACAAAGCACTCAAGTTGATATACAACAGCTTTGTTCAGTCTCACTTGTACTACTGCTGCACAGTTTGGGGAACACGATCGCTAAACTCCGTTAAAAGAGTCTTCTCGGCCCAGAAAAAGGGCATTCGCGCTGCAGATAACCAATACCACCGCTATTTTTATGACAAAGATCTGAACAGTACACCTTCACACACAAAGGAAATTTTCAATAAACTAGAAGTATTAGCTTTACCGAACGTGATAGCTAAATGTATATTATGCTTAATGCACAAAGTTTATTCTAACACTGCACCACCAAATATTATAAAAATGTTCACTGTTTCAAACTTAAACGCACCTAGAAGAGAACCTGAGTTCTTTGCAGTACCATTTAACCGTTTATGTAATTCAGACAAGAGCATTTCTTACATTGGGCCTAAGTTATATAACAAAACAGTCAACATTATTAACAAGGACATAAAATATGTCACGACTTGCCTACAAGACAAATTCCTAAATTCATTCAAGTCTACAGTCAGCAAGCATGTGCTTACTGCACAAGCACTTAACCCGGATGACAAGGACTGGAACAACTCAAATTTCGTACTTTTAGAAATTTAAATAATTTGGTACAACATACGTTGATAATAACGAGCAACAAAACTTTAACCTCATAACGAAATATGACTATCTTCGAGCATTTTCTACAATGCTATCGCTACCGCGCAATTTCACTGTCATTTACAAAACAAAAATATCACCGCGCATTCTTCAGACCCTGTGTCGCTGTTCTAAATTTATGTCAAGAGATAAGAGTTATTTAGAAATTCTTAATAGTAGTACTATTCAAATTTGCTAATAGCGTAATCATATTTTATACATTATTCATATTTTATACATTGTGTGCATATATTTATATTTGATTGTAATTAAAGATTTTAAGGCGTTAGTGCCGAGTAATGCATCTGGGTAGTGCTCCTCAATCAATCAATCAATCATACAGTACATTTGCGTGTTTAGGTGACAGCTAGCATTCTGTCTATCTATAATAGTATATATAATAATGTAGTATTCATGGTACAGGTGACAGTTAGCAGTCTGGACGGGTGCCAGGTGAAGCAGGAGCTGGACAGCACTGAGCTGGTGTCTGCCCTGCACCAGCTAGTGCTGCACAAACTGGACACTCCGCAAACTATCGACACTACCCGCCTTATTCACATCTCAGGTTTGCAACACTGAGATAAAACATTGCCAATCTTAAGTCTTAACACGATATAATATTATATATAAAACTGTAAGTCTAACATGCGAAGAATGTGGCCAAGTAATGTCCACCTTGCTTTTCTTACAGTCTCGGTGATTGGGACTGCATTGCAGCGGTGGTACAACTCTTTATTGCTAATAACCCCTGTTGACCAGTATATGTTCAATATCTTCCTAATCTATTAGATCTGAATGTAAAAATTGCGGCGACGACAAACAATATATATATAATTTCAAGGACGTTCACTGGACGGAGAGAAGACGTTACAAGAGGAGTTGATAAAAGAGAAGGATGAGCTGATCCTGATTAGGAGGAGGTTAAAGGAGCCGAGTGATAATACCGAGAAGGATACACCTGTACCTGAGGTTAGAACAGTATACAAGTTAAATTCCGGGTTTTCTGTTATAATTTATAGTGTGATAAAAGTTAAAACATAATGCAGTTATGTAATGTAATCAATAATCATTCAACTTTCATAAAATCGGCCCAATTTGTTGATTTTAAAACAATAGATTTTTTAATAAATTAAAATTTTTTAAAAACATTTTTACACGGTTTATCTGTTTAACGTTTCACATTGGCCGTATAATTTTATCAAATGGTCTAAAGCTCAAAAGAGCCATACTAATTACAACCCTCTAATAGTTCCTACTCATTACAACCCTCTAATAGTTCCTACTCATTACAACCCTCTAATAGTTCCTACTAATTACAACCCTCTAATAGTTCCTACTAATTATAACCCTCTAATAGTTCCTACTAATTATAACCCTCTAATAGTTCCTACTAATTACAACCCTCTAATAGTTCCTACTAATTACAACCCTCTAATAGTTCCTACTCATTACAACCCTCTAATAGTTCCTACTCATTACAACCCTCTAATAGTTCCTACTCATTACAACCCTCTAATAGTTCCTACTAATTACAACCCTCTAATAGTTCCTACTAATTATAACCCTCTAATAGTTCCTACTAATTATAACCCTCTAATAGTTCCTACTAATTACAACCCTCTAATAGTTCCTACTAATTACAACCCTCTAATAGTTCCTACTCATTACAACCCTCTAATAGTTCCTACTCATTACAACCCTCTAATAGTTCCTACTCATTACAACCCTCTAATAGTTCCTACTAATTACAACCCTCTAATAGTTCCTACTAATTATAACCCTCTAATAGTTCCTACTAATTATAACCCCCTAATAGTTCCTACTAATTACAACCCTCTAATAGTTCCTACTAATTACAACCCTCTAATAGTTCCTACTCATTACAACCCTCTAATAGTTCCTACTCATTACAACCCTCTAATATTTCCTACTAATTACAACCCTCTAATAGTTCCTACTAATTACAACCCTCTAATAGTTCCTACTAATTACAACCCTCTAATAGTTCCTACTCATTTCAACCCTCTAATAGTTCCTACTAATTACAACCCTCTAATAGTTCCTACTCATTACAACCCTCTAATAGTTCCTACTCATTACAACCCTCTAATAGTTCCTACTCATTTCAACCCTATTAGTCTATGGCGATTGTTGTTATGACGATTGTTGCTATGACGATTGTTGCTATGACGATTGTTGCTATGACGATTGTTGCAATGAACTTACTCAAACTTTAAACTCAACCTCCTACTTATTCCTATAATGTTTAAATCTGAAATAGCATGAAGCCACCCCAATTTCAATGAGCTGCACAATGGTGAAGAAGGAGAATCCTATAAACAAATCCACAGTTCCTCCAAACTCAGCCACTAAGTTCTGGGGCTCATACGACTTGATCTGATGCTCATTAATAACCCTGATCTCATCATAGTACACGTGCAGCCTGGTAACACTCTCCCTAGCCTGTTCAAATGTCTGCAGTTTCCCGCTCTTCAGGAACTTCTCGAAGTACTGGTTTGTTGGCGGGAAAGGAGAGGAGGCAACTGCTCCCTCCCACTCGTGGTACTCACAGGGTTCCGGGCATGTGGAGAACTGGATCTCTCCTTTAGTGATCATGTTTTGTACGAGTACTTCACAGGCTGGCTGTTGGATTATCCCGCAGGATTGCTTGAAGTAGGGTGACATTGTGTAGCCGACAAACTCGTCATCTGAGATGTGGACATCGCTTTTCATTGAGGCTCTCTTTGGTCTGTGTTCTGATGTGTCCTCATCTGGATCATAATTCTGGAACAGAGGGTGAGTATTATGCTCAGTCCTTCCAACTTTTATAAGCTCCAATGCCTCATCCAAAATATCGATATTGCCTGAAAACCACATTGTGGCAGCGAAGAACTGAGGAATGCAGCCACACCTCCTAATCATGGCGTGTATAGCCTGTCTCTCCTGACATTCCTGTACCGACTCGAAGTGTGACCCAGTCTTTCCGAACCTACTCTCCACATCAATACACGTACCGTGAGGGGGACCCAGTCTCGTCACATACCTGGACTTTAGTTTAACTGAAGTCTCCGTTCCCGGGGCGACCACATATCCTCCGTTATCTAGCATCAACACTTCCTTTTGATCCCGGATGAAGAGGATGAAGCCGTGAGATGAAGTAGTCGGGAGGTAGTTCTCCAGGTTGGTGTTGAGGTCTATAGTAAACCCTCCTCTGGCTCCCCCCACTGACTGCTGTAGAGCTCCATCATTGTTTATATCCAGACAAAGTCCCATCTGAGTTGCAGTTATCATAGCTTTAGGGTCTGTTACATTCCGTCCTATTTGCTGGAAGTAGTAGTGGGGTGTTCCTATTATCATGCTGGTCACATCCAGAGCAAACTGGAGGATCAGAGAACCGCGCTCCCGCTCGTATTCCGCCAGAGCTTCAAGTTTAGTCATGTCAATATCATCCAGAACATTGGTAACTCCGTCAAACCTCTCCAGCAGTTCCATGGCATCTTCAAACTGTTTGAGCACCTCTGGTTCCGCTTCCTTCAGGCTTTCCCTCATCTTGGTGTAGTCTATGAAGTTAGAGCTGCAGATAGTGATCGCTGGTAGAGTTACCTTGTTCATCCACTCCGTTGAGGATTGGTTATAGGACTCGTATCTGAGGTAATCTCGTATTAACGAGAAGATCAAGTAGGCTGTCATGACGAACAGACCCGCCACCACAATAGCCCACAGAATTCTACACCAGCGAGGTCGGTTCTTCTGACGGAGAACCTGGTAATACTCACTTGCCAGGTCCTGAAACTGGAACAATTGCTCATCTACTACCTTACCCTCCAGCTCTTTCGGTGGAGGGGGGTTAAATGGCACCTGGGAGGATGTGGTACCGTTTGTTTCTGCCCACGGCGCTGTGTTGATGATAACCATGTTGTTGTTTACTACCTTGGAGGGATTTTTAGTATAACTTGTTTGTAGTCTTGATTAGAACCGACCAAGGCCGACTAAACAAACAGTGGTATGGGATATTTCGGGGCCTACGACTAATTTATGCACATAATATTATATTATAATGTCGTGGTAATTTATTAATCTAATAAACCTTGTTAAAAAGGATGACTTTGGTTTAGCTTGGATCAACGCAAATTATAATAATATGCTCTTAGTAGTGCGATTCCTGAGTAGTTAGTAGGTCTTCTTAACAATGAGCAGGATGGAAAAATAAAGTGTAATCACAAGTTTGTCACGTACAATGTTTCTAAAAAGGTCATATCAAGAAAATTTCTAAATAGACTAACTAGTATACAGTTACAATAACTTAACCATATTATAACCATCTCATGAAATGATAAATTAAATGTAACTGTGTCATCAGCCTCACAGACGAGTTTTGTCCCATCTTACTGCGGAAATTTATATCTTATCGTTACCTTCAGCACACCTTTATCATATATGATATGTGTGCGTAGCCACTTATTTAACTATGGACCCACTATATAATGTAATAATTTATTATAATATATTGTAATATAAAACCAATCTGAAACCCAGCATGCTGCTGTGAATTGCCTTCAGGGTTCGTACTCTACCAGGAAAATAGATATCGACCAGGAAAAATTTAAAAAATCAGGAACTGGACCATGACCAGGAGATTTGTATACAAAGATACAAATCCAAAAAAGCACGCGAAAAGCAATTTTAGAATAGGATCAGCGGTCACGTGATAGTTATCCCTCAGTTATCCCTTATATGGCACAAGTAGCTGCAATTGATCAGCTCTTTAAATTGGGCAGCAATCCTTGACAGGCCTATAATTACCCAATTTTAAATGAACGATATCTCATTCTACAGTATGATGAGAGCGTAAAGAGATTACTTCCCGGAATCAGCACAATGAAGGGAACAAGATGCTGTTGGAATTTTAATTATTCATCTTCCACCCGTAGTCCCTTTATTGATTAGATAAGATGAAAGACCCGTTTAGAAGACCCGTTTAAATTATAACACAAAGAAAGGAGTCGAAGCACCAATGACATTACAATTTTTTATTCATGAGCGTAAAGCGTTCCTGCTTTGTTATGGCAAGCAAACCCGTTGATAACTCCCCATAAACCAAAAATTAAAACAAAGGCAAATTATGCAATTATACCATTAGAAAAACGACGTGAGAGCTGGGTTTTTCTGATTTATTTATAGAACAATCTTATTTTGTGCTACGCATTTTTGTCATCCTGTCAAGGAATCCCTTAAGCATCAGTTAGCCGTGCTTAAAGTAACCCATGTGTTAAATATCCGGGCAAATTCTTGGAAACCAGACCGGAACCGGAACCGGATATTAAAGCCGGATATCCGTTCGGTTCCTAATGCTGCTGTAAATTGCCACAAATGCTGCACATGCATTATTTGGACTTAATATTATTTGGATTTTGTGAATGCAGACTTATGACACTGTATTCTAGCACTTCGATACTAAAATATCATCCCAAAGAGTTAATCCATCCTGCATGAAGTATTTAAAATCTTTACATGGTTGTTTACAAGTTTACATAAGTTGTTAGATTAAATAAAATGGTAGTCGTGAAATCCGTAGTTGGTAATTTAACTCATAATAACATTTATGGTCCATTTCGTATAACAAATCAATCACTCGACAATCATGTTCAACATAATATCAGCATCATAATTTGTTCAACAATATAACGGATTACTAATATCATTATCGGGAGCCAAGTCGGTGGTCGCACCAAGCACTCACAACAAAATGAGAAGTTAGTATGTTGTACCGCATCATGATCAATGATCAAGTAAAGAAAAGCTTGAATTACTTAACACATGTATAAAATCCGGGAAATCGCTTGTTATTCGAATCAATTACCATAGAATTCAAGTTGTATGCTTGGCGCCGCGCATTTGAAAGTGTAATTCAATCAATCGTCAAATCGTGCAAACGTATGCGGAGGCAGGAGGGTAACCATGGCGACTACACCATAACTGCTCTGCGCGCGGAGAATATGCATTAAAATAACGTATGCGGAGGTTAATGCATGTTTTGGTAACTCGGTAATCTGCCGATGCACATCTGGGGCACACCTGGGGCACACCTGGGGCACAAACTCGGGCACACCTGGGGCACATCTCGGGCACACCTCGGGCACAAAGCACACCTCGGGCACACCTCGGGCAGAACCACCTGGGGCACACCTCGGGCACACCTCGGGCACATCTCGGGCAAAATTCGGGCATGGTAATTGGGAAACCTTGGGAAAAGAACCTGGGCACATCTCGGGCACACCTCAGGCACACCTCGGGCATATCTCGGGCAGAACCACCTCGGGCACACCTGGGGCACATCTCAGGCACACCTGGGGCACATCTCGGGCACATCTCGGGCAAAAACACCTGGGGCACGGTCATTCAGGCAATATGAATTATTATTTATTACTATGATGATAGATATCATTATTTATATTACTTATATTGGTGACAGTATTAAACTATATGTATGAGCAATATAATTTTCAGGGACACAATTTTATTATTAAAAAAATGTATTTATTAACGAGCAATTGAAAAATACGATTGATCTGTTCGTAATGTATCTAATAAATGTAATAGGTAAGCAATATTATATTATTAAAGTATCAATCGGAACATCTCATAACCATTAAAAACTATAAGTATTACTGTAACTACAAAATAAATCAGTATATCCTCTTGGGAGGGAGTGCTTCTCCTGAAGCGTGGAGTGTGCGAAGCACAGTTTGGTTCCGGTTGCAGATATCCCTGGCCACTGGTAGAAGGTTTTTAAGCGTGGGATTTATCAGCTGGAGGAGTCCATGTCGGAGAGAAGGTAGGTCAATCCTCGCTGCCTCTGCTATGCAGCGCTTCCTGCCGAAAAAGGACTCAGATATCCCCTCTGCAGCGAGTGCCTCCTTCTTCGTAGCACCATTCCGGACACGTGCCAGGATCCTGTCGTACTTTGAAACTTCTCCGTCGATGGTGAAGGTGCGGCTCGAACCAGGAAAATGGGCCGGAACAGGACCGGTGGGAGCTGTAGCGGGAGCCGGAACAGGAGCGGCAGCCGGAACAGCAGCAGGAACAGTAGCCGGAGCTGGTACAGTAACCGGAGCCGGAGCGGGAGCGGGAACTGGAACATGTGCTGAGGTTACCGGAACGACAGGTCGAGGGGGAGGAGGAGGAAGAACCACAGGTGCTGTAGGAGCAGCAGGGGTGTGAGGGGGAGACGGTCTGACGACAGGAGAGGAGTGTGTATCGCAGGGGTCTATCGTAACCACTATCTGCGTACCGTCTGGCTCGTTACTCTGTCCACTTCTGACTGTTCGGATGCAGTGGGGGCAGGTGAGGGCTGGGATAACAGGAGAGTAGGAGGATCGTGGACACACTGTGTTGATGTGACCTCGTGCGCCACAATGACTGCAAGTTGGGGGAGGAATAGGTCGGGATAGTCGAAGTCCGGATCGTGTAGGCATGATGAGTAGTAGTAGATATGTTGTGGTAGTAGAACGAAAACTGGAATGAGGAACCTATGTGATAACAACCTTTATACCCGAGGGTTTCGGGATCAGAGCTTGTTAATTCACGGTTCGGATCGCATTGATCGCATGGATCGCATGGCCCAACAAGTTACAAGATGGTAGCCATAACACGATAACATGGATCACGTGGTGAGTATTCGCAGCCCCTCTCACGTGACGCTATGGCAAGAAATCAAAATGCCTTCGCCTCATCAACTGTTCGGTGGTAATCGGAATGTTTGATCTAGTTATGTGACGCGATAAGAAGAACAACAAAGTCTTGCGATCGTGACAAATATAAGGTACTCTTCTGTGACGTCCCAGCAAGCAGTCAAAATTCCAGTCGAGATATATAAACATGAGCAAACAGCTAATACTATCATTCGATATGGCTCTCACTTTCCTCTCCTACGAAGATCTCAGAAGAACTGGAGTCCTCTCTTCAGAAGCCACAGCTCTACAGTACTGCCTCGATGTGGAACTCCTACGTCCTAACCATTTCTGTCCAGAGTGCCACACCTACATGGAGCTACGATCCTGCGCCTCCACAAAGTACAGCGATGGCTACTGTTGGTCCTGTCCTGGCGGTCAGCACCACCTCTCTGTCAGAGCAGGAAGTGTCCTCTACAACCGCAACATTACCTTTATCAACTTCCTCCACCTACTTTGGATCTTCGTCAACGGTACCAGCGTTGCTGATGCAGCCAGAATCCTGTCGATGAACGAGAAAACAGTGCGATCCCTTTACAAAGCTATTCGACAGTGTATGGTGGAGGACCTTCTCGAGAACGGAGCAACGAGGAAGATTGGAGGACGCGGGCACATCGTGGAGATCGACGAGTCGAAGTTCGGCAAACGGAAGTACCACCGTGGACGACGAGTGATCGGGAAGTGGATCGTTGGAGGCTACTGCAGAACTACCGGCGAATGCTTCTTGGTGGAGTGCACAGACAACAAACGGAACCACCACACTCTTCTTCGTCTAATCAAGCAACACGTCGCTCCTGGGACCATCATCCTTACCGACAAGTGGAAGGGGTACAACGCCCTCCGACACCACGGCTACACCCACTTGGTCGTAAACCACAGCAGAGGCTTCGTCGACCCCGTCACCGGTGTTCATACGAATACATGTGAGGGCATGTGGTTTCACGCCAAGAGGCACATGCTACGAGGACACGGCAGGACGCGAAGAGACTCCTCAGCCCTCTACATCGCCCTCGCTGAATTTATCTGGCTGAGAAGGAACCACCTGACCCGCTCCGGCCCTTCCGTCAGAAGATATTTTAACCAGGAGCTCCCGCAGTTGATGCGTAGAATTTTTGATTAGAATGTGTTTAATAGTTTTGTAAATATACCGATTGATTATGTAATATATTGCTTACAGTTTAATGAAATTATTATGTACAGTTATGGACAATTCAATCGTGTTTTTCACTTGTTCGTTAATAAATAGATATTAGATATGTGTCTCTGAAAATTATATTGCTCATATATATTATTGCGATAGTATAATACTAGTATAATACTATCGCAAATATAAGTAGGTAATAAATGATATCATTGAGGTTAGTACCCCAGCCATAATTCATTGCCCGAATGACCGTGCCCCAGGTGGTTTTGCCCGAGATGTGCCTAAGATGTGCCCCAGGTGTGCCCCAGGTGGTTCTGCCCGAGGTGTGCCCGAGATGTGCCCGAGATGTGCCCGAGATATGCCCGAGATATGCCCAGGTTCTTTTCCCAAGGTTTCCCAATTACCATGCCCGAATTTTGCCCGAGATGTGCCCGAGATGTGCCCGAGGTGTGCCCGAGGTGTGCCCCAGGTGGTTCTGCCCGAGGTGTGCCCGAGGTGTGCTTTGTGCCCGAGGTGTGCCCGAGATGTGCCCCAGGTGTGCCCGAGTTTGTGCCCCAGGTGTGCCCCAGGTGTGCCCCAGATGTGCATCGGCAGATTACCGAGTTACCCATGTTTTGCTTTGTGACACCACGAAAAACCTACCTACCTACTATACCCATCCTCAATTCCTACCACTTCTAACCATCTTATCCTTTTTTACAAAAATAAGTTAATGGAAAAATATATAAGGTCGCAACGTGAGTCAAGTTTTTTCCTAGTTACAATTATTGTAGTTAAGTGAGTAATGACTGTGACATAAACTTTTGAACATGTGCATAATATATTATAATATGGCATAATTTGTGTCATAAACTTTTAAGCGTAATTTATGTCTTTGGATATTCGTCGTTGGCCATGCAGCAATTAAAGTTTAATTCGACACTGCGCAACTACCATTTTGAATCAATAATTGGACATTTATAGTTATAGTTATGTTTAACATTTGCTCTGTTAAAATTACACACCTTTTTATGGGTTACGTGCTCACATTCGTGTAACCATGGTAACAATGTGTATTTGTAAGCGTTAGAATAATATGATTATAAGTAACGTATGCTTTTTAAAATGTTAATCAAGTGCAAGTGCTTTGCTTAGACGAATGAATGTAAACTTGTTTAATAAATAAAATAAATAAAAACAAAATTTTTACGGGTTGACCATTATTAATGTTACTAGATGAAAAAAGAAAAATAGTCTAGAGGATAAGAGATACTTAGAAACTGTATAATTATTCACAAATCTCACTCTTAGAAAATATAACCGGCAGGGCATGAGTATGCATTTTTAGAGAAAGGTAAAAAAATTCTGAATATTTCTTTTCTCCAACAATTGAAATTGACAAAAAGGAGACTCAAGACATGCTATCTTAACCTATTCATTAAATTTGTACATTTCTCCAGATAATATTCAGCAAATATTCCTCGTACGTGTTCCATGATTAAGTGACATTCGAAGATTATCATATCAGGGTGTATATTATATATAATAGTTCCAATAGTTATGAACATAAATTCTTGGCTTTTCCGAAAGTTGTTGATTATATAGGCGTTTGATAATATGTCCTGAAAACACACGTACAATTTTCACGACTTTTAACGTAATGAGAACATTAGACTAAGTGACACAGAGATTCGAATCACCAATCTATCGATTGAAAAACTGAGGTACTACCACTCTGCCACCTAGCCACATTCAAAAAGAGATAACAACTGTTTAGTTGTTATTACAGGTGCCAGTTGTTTATTTAATAATATTACAGGTGCCAGATAACGTGATAGAGGAAGTGATAAAGTCGCTGCCAGAGAAAGACAACACTGGTAAATCTGGGGTTACAGAGAAACTACCTGAGTCCAACAACATGGCACACGTGCTGCTCACTAGGATCATAGTTACTCTGGTGGACTGCGCTGAGATGCTGCAGTTTGACAGGTACTTCTGCACGTCCGCTTATTGATTGTAATGTTATTATTATTAAATAAAAGTTCAACAAGAGATATTTAAAAACAACGCCCAAGTCTAATCTTTCCCTAAAAACTAAATATTAAAAACTTCGTTGTAATTTCTGTTATAACCATCGGAAAGTGATAGTGATTGAATAAAAACAAAATTTTAGATCTGAAATAATTGTGGTTGTGGCTATGCAGGTATGAAATTTCCAACAAAAATAGGTTTCACGGATCCGTTATTAACGAAACATAATATCTTCCCATCACAACAACCTAACTCCTCAGACTACAAGAGGACAGTAACGAGGTCATGTTTAATGATGATGACGTCACCCAGATTGTTGACTTGGGTTTCACGGACGAGCAAGCCAAAGCGGCCCTGGTGGCCAATAACTACAGTCTAAACTCTGCCATAGAGTGGATATTAGCTGGACATCACAACGGGTCTGGAGGGTCAGGAGGAAGCCACAGGAACAGACCTAGACGCAGACGAGGTAGTTGTTTGTTGTGCCAGATTATATTTGTCTCCCCCCCCCCCCCCCCCTCCACCTCCTATATAAAAGGGTATAAACCTTCCTGTAACCTAGCCCCCCTTCCTGTAACCTATCCCCCCCCCCTCCACCCCCTATTATATAAAAGGGTATCAACCTTCCTGTAACCTATCCCCACCTTCCTGTAACCTATCCCCCATCCCCCCCCCCCCCCCCCCCCCTAGTAACCATAGTAACCTATCCCTGTTCCTGCAGGAGTGTTTAAAGCAGACCAGAACTGTGTGAGGAACCTTGTAGAGATGGGTTTCCCTGAGGGAGAGGTTGTAGCTGCTCTGGAGGTCACTAGGAACAACCAGCAGGAGGCATGCAGCTACCTTCTTGGTTAGGATGATTATTTAAATAATTCAAAAGTAATTAGTGAACCAAAACCACGATTTAAAATCACTAGCAGGAACCCGTATAACCTTAAAATGGTTTTAATTCGCGTTTTTGACACCACTTGGGGGTCCAAATTTTGGGCTCTAAAATACCTATTCCTTGGCCAATTTTTTATTTTTTCATGCTGATTTGGAGGCAATTAAAGCATTTGACCCAGTCAAAAAAGTTTCAGTTATATATCTTTTACGGTTTTTTCGGAAATTCGCGTTAAAGTTGATGCCGTGGTGTCAGAAAAATGGCACGGATCCATCCATCCATCCATATATTATATCGTCTCGCTTTATATATTATAGTAAGATGTTTGTACTTTTTTGTTTGGAGCACATTAATAATGGGTTCTGTTAAAATCATCTTGAGTTAAACTATACGATCTGTAACCCAACCCCACTATACGATCTGTAACTATAGAGCTATAGGAGACAGACACGAGCCTACAGGATCTAACAACCTTACTTTAACAGGAGACAGACACGAGCCTACAGGATCTAACGACCTTACTTTAACAGGAGACAGACACGAGCCTACAGGATCTAACGACCTTACTTTAACAGGAGATAGACACGAGCCTACAGGATCTAACAACCTTACTTTAACAGGAGACAGACACGAGCCTACATGATCTAACGACCTTACTTTAACAGGAGACAGACACGAGCCTACAGGATCTAACGACCTTACTTTAACAGGAGACAGACACGAGCCTACAGGATCTAACGACATGTACACCCCGTTGCCACGCGACCACCCTCTCTACAAGCTGGTAATGGAGCGTAGTGAGATTCAGAAAGCGCTCCTCACCCCTAAGTTCCTGGACGCTATGCGGGATCTGGAGGAGAAGAAAGCTACCATTGTGGACTTTAGCGACGATCCTGAAATTGGACCTATACTTTTTCAGCTGAGTAAAGCTATTCAGAAGTTTTCGTCCCAGTCGTGAGGTTGAGTAGTTTTCGTTTATTATCCAATTTACTTGGCTGGCCAAACAAATAACTGATGACAAAACTTTTCAATTCCATTTGGAAATTATGATATTAACGCCCGGTGGGATTTTTTGGTATAGGTTTTTTTTCGAGCATGGATATATTTAACTGTTTATTTGTAAATTTATACTTAATTGAATTTCAGTTTGATTTAAGCGCTCTTTTCAGTTTTTAATAGTATTAAAACAATTGTTGCCATTTTATTAATAAATACCATCAACACGAAATTCTTCACAATCATAAAAAGCTGGGCCCAGCCAAAGTGGCATAATTATAAAAAATACCTTATTAACAAATAACGTTAAATCCCTGAGAGAAATGACCATTATGAATAAATAATCAGTGTCATTTCCCGGACCTTATGAGGTGATCAAGTGATCTCACTTCACGTTAAGTTCACATGTAGAGAGCGTAATAAGCTGAGGCTGCCAGTCCTATAGCTGCAGCTGCTCCAACTCCTAAGGTCTGTCCCAGATTACTGCCCTTCTCTTCTTCAGCCCCATTGCGACCTGTGTGAGATTGGAGGTAATGTGTTATATACTTTGTGACAGATTGGTAAGTTAGAAAACCTTCTATTCGAATAAACTGGAATGCTGGGATGATGTTAACGTTTAACATAGTAAAATAACAGTATATTCAGAAATCAGATCAAATGTACAAATAACAATACATACAATAACAATTGACAGGTGATATAAATACAACGAAATAAATAAAACAACATATAAATATTTCTACAGCGTTATCACCCGAAGGCTCCCAGAAGAATGCAGCAGGCTCCTTCAGTCCTTTCAATTGTACAATTTACCAAATAATAAACTCAGTCCTTGTTGGCAAAGTGCCAGATCTACTCATTTCCAGTCAGCTGGAACATCATGGAAGCACAGCCTACAATAATAGAAATACCAGCCGTCTCCATGTAGGACGGGATCTCTCCGAATAGGACCAGCTGGAAGGTGAAGGCCCAGACAATACTTGACGTTCTCAGGATAGTAATCATACTGGCGGGAAGTCTTGATCCTTGTCCTACTTCCATCAGGAGGGGCCTTCCAAAGAACATGAGGGCGCCTAGTGTGATCAGACCTAAAGCGTCCCATCCGGGTAATTCCATGATTTTATACCCAACATTTCCTTTGAATGGGAGCAATGCTATGCAGAGGACAGTGGCTACGATATTGTTGTAGAAAGTGAACTGAGAGAAGTGTAGTCTGCCCTCTCCCTCCATCATCATCTTTCTGTTCAGGATCATGGTCAGGGCTCTTAGCACGTTCATTGTTATCGCAAGTCCGATAGCGATGTACCTCTCCTTGTCAAACTCTTCGAACTGGTTGATATCTCCGCTACCAAACAGGAAGTCAGGCTGAGAGATAAGGAATACTCCGATAACGCTCGTTATAATACAGGTCCACTGCTTCATGTCCATGGTTGTCTTCAAGATAAGCCAGTTTAGAACAGACTGTGTGACCGGAGACATACCCATCAGAGCTGCTGTTAGTCCTAGGGGTAGTTTCCTAGCTACGTAAAGCTGAGCGAATGTTTGGAACACAGTCATTCCAACTCTCATCAAAAGACTCTTCTTATTCTCTATCTCTGATAGTTTCAGGGACATTCCTTTAAATGATTTAGCGTAAACTGCGGCTAGGACGAGACAGATAAGAGAACGGAGGAACCTTACTTGAACTATGGGTGCTACCTTAGAGGCCAGTTTCATTGTCATTATCGAACCGCTCATACAGAAAGTTCCAGCCAGCATGATGAGCACTCCTTTCAGACTAGCCTCGGCTTTGCCTCCCCTACCTCCTTTCCCTCCTTTCCCTCCTCGGCCGCCCTTCCCTCTCTTCCCTTTCTTCGTGCCATCTCCTCTTGGTCCCTCTCCGTCTCCTCTGGGTCCCTCATGTAGTTCACCTCCCTGGTCCAGTCTGTGAGCCTCCCTTTTTAGTCTGTCTATTTCATCAACAGGTGGACCAACATTGTCTCGGTGCCGCAATTCGGCTGAAAAATTCAGAGATCAGTAAATCGGAATTTTGAGTCGTTTTGGAAATTTGGTTTCGTTTTGTTTGATTGGGGAATAGACAGCTTAGAAAAGTAGGAGAAATCCCCTCGACAAATTTCGGGATAAAGTTTGGGCTCTTTCCGATTTACTTGTCTCTATGAAAACTCCATTTTAAATGCAGTCATATTCGTAAAATGCTTGAAATAAATAGCCCAAATATAATTTTATCAGCGGCACATCAGATAATCATACCTTCTCCGGGTCCACCGCCGCCTTGTTTGCCGCCACCTCGTCCGCCTCTTCCACCTTCACCGCCGCCTCTTCCACCACCACCTCGTTTTCCACCCTCTCCTTGGCCAGCCTCTCCCCCACCTCTACCACCTCCACGTTTGCCTCCTTCGCCGCCTCCCCGACCTCCTCTTCCTCCTTCTCCGCCTCCTCTTCCACCAGATTCACCACCTCCCCGTCCGCCTCTTCCACCTTCACCGCCGCCTCTTCCACCAGCTTCGCCACCTCCTCGACTGCCAGCTTCTCCTCCCCTGCCACCACGTTTTCCACCTTCGCCTCCTCCTCGGCCTCCTGGTCCTCCCTCGCCTCCCTGATCGCCACCGTCTCCACCTTTACCACCTTTACCACCTTTACCACCTTTACCACCTCGACCTCCTCGTTTTCCTCCTCGCTCTAAAAGTATAACTCGTTATTATTGCAGCTCTTTAAAAGATACTGAGGTAAAATAAACAAAGTGATTACTTATAATTATTTAAAACAAACATGAAACAATGACGATTACATTTTAATTGGTTCTTACCTGACTTCATCTTCTGCTGATGCTCGATGTAAGCATCCACATCTCCCAAAGTTGCTGTTATTTCATCGAAATCATCGTTGGTGTTGTTTGAAGAGATAAAATCGTCAAATATTGCCACGTTTTTCTGTACCTCTGCTGTAAAATGTTTGGGGTTAATGTTCTGGGTCTGTCTTGCAATTCCCATTATTCAAGTGTATTATCTAGAGATTAAAAAGTAAGATTAGTAATACCTGCCATGATTGCTGAAAAATGTTTCTTTATAAAAACGATGAACTACTGCAAACTTCTGGGATCAAATTGTCAAGAACTAAACAAAGTGTCTAAACCCGCTTAAAGGGTTATATTTACAATAGCGTAGGTGTGATTCATTGCGTGGGTTCGTAAGTGTTACACTGCAGCAATATTGGGTCTTCACTCGTATATCATGCAGTTATTCTGCTGCAGCAATATTGGGAAATATTGATATGCTGACAGTAAGACAATCATGGTAAATAGCAAGTGGCAAGGTCCACATTTCCCCACAATGAAAACTGATGATTTACAGAATACAGGATAATAGATTTGCGCCCTGTATTGGTATATTGTCAGACACTTTATATCGCCATGTGATCCAGAAATCGTCTGTATATCGTCTTAAAAGAATGAAGAAGCCTTAGCCGAGGAATCTGTCCCTAATGAGTCACCGAATAGGTCATTTACATTGGATGAACTGAACGCTGCACTAGGTAATACTTATATTATATAACAATGCATTAGGTAAAATTAAATCCGGCAAATTGCATCTCCGATAATTTGGAATTGGCAATGCTCAAAGTTTTGAACGTGAATGGTGAAAATACCCCTCTCTAAACTCTGAGACAGGAACAGGAATTTACATTTGGAGCAAAATTTATGTAAGATCATGACATCGATGCACAAAAGTCAAAACCTTAACGGGTAAAATATAAATACCGGTTCCAAATATTGTTCCGAGACCGTCGACGAGTCCAACTCGGCGCACGTCTTGTTAGATTATAATCTTACAAACGAAAAGGGTTGCAATTGCGTCAGGATCCAGGATATGACTTAGTGGGAGCGTTCCAGGTAAGCGTAGTAAACCGTCAAATCTTCCGGGCGCGCGCAGCCGCAAAACTTACCTGGCAGGCCAATTCCTAAGCGCAGTGCTCTTTTCAAACTTCCTCACAAATTCATTTAAAAAGCAAGCAATAAACTATTAAGTGGTGTTCCATCCGCTCGTCGCGTAATTTTATGTCGCGTTTTGGCAGTGAAATTTGGTCCCAGGGTCTTGCGGACAGTGGACCCTGTAGTATTAACAAATTTTAGCGTACATAGTTGTGTGAGGGCTCATTGGAAAGGTAATCGATTGGCACACAGGTCTAACTACACCAATATAGCTTTTATACATGGGAACATACTTTTAATTGGCCTAGAAGCCTAAACGGTTTTATTCCGTCCAGGATATAGGTAGGAGCATCGATCAAACGGGATAGACCGTTTCTTAAAGTTGATGCCTTGAGCTGAAAGTCATAAAAATGGCTAAAAAAGACATCCTTGGGTCTCTTATGGGGTCCATCTTTATTTCTCGGATACGACATCAGGATCGCAAATTCCCTATTCTCGCAGATTTGGCGCGGCTAGTACTTGTAGATGCCCAGAGTATCGGCAGTCGCTTCATCTGAGGTCAAAGAAATGGTCGCAGCCAGAAGAAATTTCAATTTTAACTGTTCAAATTCGAATGGGGCAAATACTTCGGTCACAGTCTACAATTATGTCAAGGTGAATGCTAACAATTTCTACTTTCATCATGTAAATACTCCAAAAACTAGCAATAGCTTTTCACTGCAGGAAAACCAGCAGAAAAACTAGCAATAGCCTAGGAGTTCGAACCCTGCCCCGGCATTAAGAATTTTCCAACATTTTTACTGTACCCTACAACCTATTACATGCTGCTTTTTATGATCGTAGAGGAGTCTGCAATAAGGAATATGGGGCTTGCACCCGCCTTACCTGCCGACATCCAGACACAAATTGGGGACTGAATTTCAAAGATGAGAATAATGCGAATTTGAAAGATACCCTTTTTCTCCAATCGACAAATAAAACAAATTTCTCTAGTCAGAGTAAACACTTTTTGATCGACACGTCAGTTTATTAAGTTATGGCAAATTACGTATTAGTAATAATGTCAATGATTATATCTGTGTTCGTGTTTTAATCTAACTACTGACTTTATTTATCTCAATAAGATATTGTATTTACCTTATATTTATAAATAATATCGATAAAGCAAAAGGATGTGGGTTCGAGTCTGGCCAGGGATTGAAATCTTCGAAGATTTCAACCCCTGGCCAGACTCGAACCCGCAGCCTGTTAAGTTTTTCCTGCTGTCCATGCATGGAGTTAGTCCTCTGCTCTCATGATCAAGCCATTGTGGTCACTAATCATTCTGATACTATGTGTTATTATATTGTGCTACAATGCACTAATCGATCAAATTGATAATATTTTCAATTGGTAGAGTTGGCTTTCAAAATTGCACGCGAATGTATTACAATAACACAGAAACATCACTTTAATAATCTCTATATCAAAACGATCACGAGGCAGCATCCTGAAAATGTGCACACATACAGTTGAGATGAATAACTAAATATTGCATTCTCGAAATAAATACTGTAAAACCTCCATTTACTGGGTCTTCGTGGATAGAAAGTGATAAAAATAGAAATATGAATAACACTATCTTACACGTACACAACTTGATATTTGGGAGAAGAAGGAGAGCCCCGGCAAATTGAGGTTTTACTGAAAAGAATGAAACAGAAATTTTAACATTTTCTTACTAATCTAATGCTGAAAAAAGCCTATTTGTTTTTATCAGCGAATCTAAAACAGAATACTCGGGATGATCAAGCCTGTAGTTCGAGTTTGGCAAAGCAGTGATCTTCACTTTGCAGAGAACCTGGCTTGCCAGAGTATGGTACTCCTCAATGTCAGTGAGGACGAATTTTTCGTCTGATTCCGTTAGATAATGCATCTCGTAGCAAGGCTCATCTAAGGAATCCTTCAGCTCTTCAAGACCACTCTGCTGACAAGTTCTACATGATCTGGAAGCTATGATTCTAGAGATCCTCCCAATATACCAAGTGTTATGTTCGTTCTCATCTTGCCAAAAGCAGGCCGTGTAATCGCCAACTTTTAGTTTTGCGTCACCAGTTGCCCGTCGAACCTCTTTCAGCAGATTAGATCCAGACATCTTCTTGTGCAGTTCAGCAAGTTTCTCCTCAAGATGGTCTTCTGACGGAGGAGTCGGTGTTGACGTCTGCAAAAAGTCAGGATTGATCAGCTGGCGGAGATTATCGATCAATACCGACTTGGGTTTTGGAGCAGTCTGTCCAAGCTCGTTTTTTTTGCCAACAACAAAGATCGACTTATCAGGAACGACGACACTTTCATATACAACGTCCCTGTTGTAGAAGATCTCTAGCCTCAACATCTTGATGGTCTCCTTCTCTGAGGTTCTGAACTTTTTCAGCTTCAAAATCTTGTCCAAGTGGGAAACTGACAGTATTGGCCCCTCATGATTGTCTTGACAACGACCAATTGATTGCTTCTTTCTCTCAACAGCTTTCAGCTTCCGGTCCTTTGAAGCAGCCAAATGTTTCTCAGCCTGCTGTTGAGCAGCTGCATCACTGATGCTTAAAAGTTTACTAGCCATTTTGAATCGTTGATCGGAGCAAGCTTTCTTGAACATTTGTCGCAGCTGTTCTTTACTGAGCTTCTTCTTTCTCAAGTTCTCCATGTGCGAAGACTTCGCAACAATTTGTTGTATGCCAATCGTGCGAATCTTTGCTGTCCGCGCCAACTTGTTACCGTGTCGAAACTCAGCAACTTGGTGTTCTGCAGCTAAGGCTGTTGTCGGAACACCATCCAAGCATTTCGGGTCGTTATCGAGCAGTTCTTTAAGTTTTCCCCCCTCTAGATAGAGGTCAGCAGTTTGAGCGGTGAAAACAGCTTGATAACCCTCGGCTATCAATGAAACAACCCTCTTGACAACCTTTATTGAAAAAGGCGGCTCGGGAAGTTGAATCTCACCGTATATAGCCTCAAAAATGGCCTTGTGACCTTTGTGACTAACCTTTGCTAAACTTGGAAAGGCATCCAAATAATCAAGAGGTCTGTTAACGAGCAGTCTTTCAGCACCGTCCGCTGATGCTTCTTGTAAGCTGGAAATTATCCCAGGATAGAAAGAGCACAGCTCAAGATGGTCGAGATGCTTGTAACCCTCGACACCTTCAGCACCAACTGCCACAAGAAATGGTCTTAAAATGTGGTAGTACAAAACACTAACTGCGACGCAAATCTCTTTAAAATACGGGCAGTTAACATAGCGCTGACAGCTCAAGAACATCTTGTCGGTGAAGGAATGCTCATTCATGAACTTCTTGATGGTTCTGAAAATCAAAAGTAACACGATGTCGATAATAATTTTCATCGATAATAATTTTCATCGTGCTTAAAAAGTTTTTATGATGAATTCAGTATGTACTAATTGTACTTCGTGAGTAAAAACAGAAGTAAAAACAGGATTAGCAAGTAGTAACTTAGATTAACTTACTCGAAGTGGTAGGCGAATAGAGTGAGAAACTCTGGATATTTGCCGAACCTAGAAGACTTGGCATCTTGCAGATGATTCCTTAATTCTCCAACTTGACGCAGAAAAGCGGAGAAGTTCTTCGTCTGCGACCATTCCTGATTCTGCTTGGATGTGCCCAGCATGTTCATGAACGCATAGCTCATTGTTAGGATGCAGGAGCTATTGCTCCCGAAAAAGCTAGCGTTGAAACTCTCCACAGCATACTTTCTTACTCCTGATGAGAAATCTAGTTGAAAGAAATTAACAGGAAAGCAGGAACTACTTGATTATGATCATGCCATAATTTCATTACGTCATAGGAGAATATGATCAAAGCAGTCTTGTGGGATTCAAATAATATCCGAAATAAAACATGGGGAAAGGAAAGGGGATTCAGACTCACCAAGCACCTCCTCGATTTCTAACAAAACTTTAGTGAGAGCTGCTGCAAGTGCGGGTTCGATATGGGCATTGCAGTGAACCCAAATGTCATCAAAAACAAGATTCATGTCCCGTTTCCATTCCTTCAACCGGTCCATTGCTGGTTT